TAGGAATGGTCAAGCAATGTAAGGTGAGGGGTCCTCTTACCACCTAATGTGGCACCTAAGAGGACACTCAAATGTACCTTCTCTATTGAACTGTGAGCATCTTAAGGCAAGGATCATGGTCATTTAGCCCCAGGAGTGCCTGTCCAATTACAGCTGTCTATACAGTTTTGGAGAATTGAATAAAGTGAATGTACATTCACTTGGCTTCTTATGAGCTCTATACATTGCAACAAAGGGAAACTTTTTTATTTTTTTTCTTTTATTATTCATATGTGCATACAAGGCTTGGGTCATTTCTCCCCCTGCCCCACCCCCTCCCTTACCACCCACTGCCCCCTCCCTCTCCCTCCACCCCCTCAATACCCAGCAGAAACTATTTTGCCCTTATCTCTAATTTTGTTGAAGAGAGAGTATAAGCAATAATAGGAAGGAACAAGGGTTTTTGCTGGTTGAGATAAGGATAGCTATACAGGGAGTTGACTCACATTAATTTCCTGTGCAGTGTGTGTTACCTTCTAGGTTAATTCTTTTTGATCTAACCTTTTCTCTAGTTCCTGGTCCCCTTTTCCTATTGGCCTCAGTTGCTTTTAAGGTATCTGCTTTAGTTTTCTCTGCGTTAAGGGCAACAAATGCTAGCTAATTTTTTAGGTGTCTTACCTATCCTCACCCCTCCCTTGTGTGCTCTCGCTTTTATCATGTGCTCAAAGTCCAATCCCCTTGTTGTGTTTGCCCTTGATCTAATGTCCACATATGAGGGAGAACATATGATTTTTGGTCTTTTGGGCCAGGCTAACCTCACTCAGAATGATGTTCTCCAATTCCATCCATTTACCAGCGAATGATAACATTTCATTCTTCTTCATGGCTGCATAAAATTCCATTGTGTATAGATACCACATTTTCTTAATCCATTCGTCAGTGGTGGGGCATCTTGGCTGTTTCCATAACTTGGCTATTGTGAATAGTGCCGCAATAAACATGGGTGTGCAGGTGCCTCTGGAGTAACCTGTGTCACAGTCTTTTGGGTATATCCCCAAGAGTGGTATTGCTGGATCAAATGGTAGATCAATGTCTAGCTTTTTAGTAGCCTCCAAATTTTTTTCCAGAGTGGTTGTACTAGTTTACATTCCCACAACAGTGTAGAGGGTTCCTTTTTCCCGCATCCTCGCCAACACCTGTTGTGGTGGTGTTCGCTGATGATGCTATTCCTAACAGGGCGTGAGGTGGAAATCTTAGTGTGGTTTTAATTTGCATTTCCTTTATTTGCCAGTTTTAAATTGGCGTTTTCTTTAATGCACAAATCTTTAATCAGATGTATTTTTTTGCAGACACTTTTTCTCATTTTCTGGTTTGTTTTTAAATAGCACCTTCTGCAAGAGCAGAAGTTTTTACTTTCAATGACATCAGTGTATTGTTGTTATTTTCTTTTCTTTTTTATTTTTTTGATGGGTACTGGGGCTTTGACTCAGACCTCATGCTTGCTAGGCTTGCATAGCAGGCCCTCATCATTTGGAGCTACTCTTATAATTTCATGTTTTTGTTGTCATATCTAAGATATTTTTGCCTGGTCAGTGTAACAGGGTTATCTTCTACACTTTTTACGTTTTGAGTTAATTTTTGCATATGATATGAGGTATACATTTAGCACTCACTCATTTTATATGTGGATGAATTGTTCTTGTATCCTTCGTTAAAAAACTGTCCTTTCTCATTGATTAACCTTTGCATCTTTATTGAAAACCTAGTGATTATGTTCTTTTCAATCTCTATTATTTCAATACTGCTCTGTCTTGATAGTTCTAGCTTTATTATAAATCTTAAAATTGGGTAATGTGAGCTCTCTAATTTTGTTCTTTTACAAGCTTATTTTGGCTTGTCTGGATTCTTTGCTTTTTCATAAACGTTTAGAATTTTTTCATTTCTGCAATGCCTACTGGGAATTTGATTGGGTTGTATTGTGTCTAAAGGTCAATTTGAGGAGAATTGACATCACAAGTTAAGTCTTCCAGTCCATGTATGTGGTATATCTCTTAGTTAAGTAGGTGTTTTAAAGATTTCTTCCATGAATGTTTTGTAGTACTCAGCATAGACCTTAAACATTTTTTGTTAGCTAACATACCTAAGCATTTTATGTTATTTGGTATTAGTCAAGAATTAGTAGTCTGAATAGTCTTACCTGTTCAGTTAATTTAATTCATAGTTAGAATATCTTCCAACAAAGAAACCTCCCTAGTAAATTGTAGCAAGCATTATAAGAAAGAAATAATACCTGTTCCACATACTCTTCCATGTAGAAGAGGAGTGTATACCTTCCCCCAGCACATTTTATGAGGTCAGCATTACTGTGATAAAAGCATACAAAGATGTATGGGAATATTTCTCATTATTGATAGACGAAAACCTATTCAACAGTATTTTGTTTAAATTGAATCCAACATATATAAGAAACTAAAATCAAATGGAGTTTACCTGGGAATGCAGTATTGACTCACCATTTGAAGATTAATGTTAATTTACCTTGTAAACATTAAAGAGTAAACCATATGAACAAGTCCTTTGATATGTAAAACATTTGACAAAAAAAGTCTGTCCATTCAGGATAGAATTTTTCATATGTAAGAGTAGGTAACCTCATCAACCTGATAAAGTATGATTACGTGGTTAGTAGTTTTATACAGCTTAATGCTGTCCCTTTGAGATTGGGAATGAAAAGGAGTGTCTTATCACTCCTACTGTTTAACATCATGCTTCAGGTTTAGTCAGTGCAGTGGGCATGAAAACAATACAGATTGGAAGGAAGAAGATAATTTTGGTCACGGACAATGTGCTTATCTGTAAAACTGAGTTCAGCAAGGTCGTAGGATACAAGGGCAAAGTCATTTCTTTTTATGTAGATAAAAGCAGCAAAGAATTAGAAATTGAATTTCTTTCTAAGAAAAAAATTGCATCATTATGTGCTTTGTCCTGTTTTCCTGAGGTCTGAGCCTGGAGTTTTTTTTTTTTTTTTTCCTGGAAGGTATTTTACCTATGAGTTAAATTTATTGAACAGATAAGACTATTCAGGCTATTCATTCTTGATTAGTACCAAATAACATAAAATACCTATGTGTAAATCTAACAAAATATGTTGAAAGTGTAAGGACTATAAAACACTCTTGGAAGAATTATCTGTGCAAATTTTATTTATTTGTATGTTGCTCTGATATTCTTGACATGGTACAGATATGGACATTTTATTTTATTTTTTGGTGGTACTGGGATTTGAACTTTTAGGCCCTACACCTTGAGCCATTCCACCAGCCCTTTATTGTGATTTTTTTTTTTTTTTTTTTTTTTTTTGATATAGAGTCTCACAAACTGTTAGGCCTGGGCTGGCTTCAAACTGCAATCCTCCTGATCTCTGCCTCCTGAATAGATAGGATTACAGGCATGAGCCACTGACATCTGACTTGACAATTTTAATTATGTAAGAACATTTTATATATGTAGGCTTTTGCAAAGGGATTTTTTTTCCTATTTTTGGTGGGATTGGGATTTGAACTCAGGCCTTTGCATTTTTAAAACAAGTGCTCTACTGCTTGAGCCACACCATCAGCCCATTTTTCTCTGGTTACTTTGGAGATGGAGTCTCCCAAACTATTTGCACAGGCTGGCCTTGAACCTCGATCCTCCCAATCTCAGCCTCCCAAGTAGCTGTGATTTACAGGAGTGAGCTACCAGTGCCCAGCTGTAGAGAAAAACGTTGTTAGGATGACAAACACAGGAGTAATTTTGAAATTGTAAGATTTAGCTGTGCTTTCCTGATTAGGGGATTATTCCTTCTGTAATTAACAGTAATTATGAGACTTAATTCTAAGTGTTTTAAGAGATAATATATTGTTACAAGAGAAAGTACTGCCTGGATATTGGTAATCACAAGCAGTTTTTTCTAAAGCTTAAGCTGGGTTGTATTATTTTTGGTAATAATAAAAATCAAAATTTTGGTATAATTAAAATAGTTTAGTGTGTTAGGAGTTAAGGTGATTCAAGCCTGTGATCATAGAGTAGCATCTGTTTCTGTACTTTCTCCTTTATTGCTAATTTTTAAAAATTAACTTTAAAAAATTTAGGGTGTAGGAGTTACTAGAACTTGAATTCAGAACCTTGTGGTGGCCAGGCAGGCACTTCATTGCTTGCTTGAACCATGTCTCTAGCAGGAAGCTAATATTGAGCCCTGTACTCCTTCTGTTGTTTTTTTCTTTTTGAGATGGGGTCTTGCTACATAGTTCAGGTTGGCCTGTATTTTCCTGGTGGATATTTTAATTGTAGTACTGGGGTTTGAACTCAGTGTCTTATACTTGAGCTACCCCCCAGCCCTTTTTGTTTGCTTTTCTGATAGGTTCTCATGTATTTCTGTCCAGGCCAGCCTCAGACTATGATCCTCCTACTTATGCCTTCTGTGCAACTGGAATTATATAGTTAACCATCATGCCTGGCTTGTGGTTGAGATGGGGTCACTTAACTTTTTGCAGAGGCTGACCTTGAACCTCAGTCTCTGCCTCTTAAGTAACTAGGATTATAGGCTTTAACGTGTCTTCATATGTGCCAAAGCCTCTAGCCTTAACTGCAGTCCTTAATAGGCACCAAGTTTTTGATAAAACTAATATAGAAATATTACAGCTACCCTAAAAATATAATGAATATTTGATACCCAAAATTTTTTAGATTTTAGAAGCTGAAAAAATGGGTTATGCTTTGATTCTTATCTTATTAAGCATTGCCAAAATTACTTGATTTTGTGGTATCCTCAGTTACTGGAATGCCATAATGCATTCTTGAGAAAAATAAGTGTTTTTATGTAATTCTTAAAGCATGTCTTGTGTATTAAAGGATACTTAGGTAGTGTTTTTTAGGATTTTTTTCCTAACCCCAGTTTTACAAAAGTTAAAAAAAAAATTATTTGTATGGGTTTTTTTGTTGTTTCATGGCACTGGCGTTTTGAACTCAGGGCCTCACGTTTGGTAGGCAGGTGATTTACCACTTGAGCCACTCTGCCAGCTAAAAAGTTATTTTTAAAGAAGTAGCCTGAGTATTTTAAGATGTCCTTTTTGTTACATTAACTTTTGAAAACCAATTCACTAGTGTGAAAATGTTAAAGTTCTGTCACAGTAGAATCTGCAACCTCTTTGTTTAGCCTTTTTAGAATTTATTATAATTAAATGGTACTTAATACTCAATGTAATAGATATCTCAGTTCACTTGTTATTAATGTTCTTTGATTTAACTCAAGGGCAAGCAGATCAAGGTATTGCTAGAAATTTTTGCCAGTTACCCCATTTCCACCATGTAACATAAGTGACACGTTTTCTTTATAATAGTATTGGGTACTTTCTAATCACATCTGTTTATAAAAGTAGTTTCTCAGGTATAGAACAGGATTTTCAATAAAAGCACGAAACAACTTTTTGGTGATCTGTCCCTGAGATAAGTTTGTGTTAACATATTAACATTGTTTTACTTTGGACATCTATTCTGTTTTGTGTGTATTTTCATTGCACGGTATATGCTCCTTATAGGCACCAGTTAGAAGACAGATGAAAGCTAAGCAGCCTACTGCACAATCTTATGGTGTCACCAGTTCAACAGCAAGGCGAATATTGCAGTCTTTAGAGAAGATGTCAAGCCCTCTAGCGGTAAGTTTTTGAAATCACAGTTGAATGTAGTGTTTAGTTTGAGTTCAGTGAAAAATCTTATATTTTTTTTATTTCACGAAAAATAAATTTATTCTAACATTTATAGGATGTGAAAAGAATTCCATCTGCTGTTTCTTCTCCTCTTAATTCTGTAAGTTGGCATTTAAACCTATTTATGATAAGAGTTATATTTTTCTGAGGTTTTCGTTTATTCTAATACTATTTTATTTTTTTAGCCCCTTGATAGAAGTGGGAGAGATACCACAACTTTTCAGGCCAAATCAGAAAAGGTAAGACAGTTATTTAAAGTGTCAGCAATTTTGTCATAGACAAATTGGATTCGGTTGCTAGTTATTTGGGAACATGGGTAGAAGATAAGATGTTTGTACTTGGACACTTGGCCTCTTATAGCCACAGGATGTAGTTGCATATGTAGTAAATGCCCATTCTATAGTTTTTTGGTTATTTAGCTTTCTGTTTTCATATTCTTGACAGCCTTTATGACTTAGTGTTATCTTTGGTAAATAAAACTAGAAGTGAGCAAAGCTGAAATGTTTACTAATTAGGTATTCAGTGAACTCACATCCTCATTGAAATAGTGATCTTTGAAAACTTTCCTCATTAATCAACATTGTGTCAAGTAGAAACAGTGTGTAATAGAATTTCATTTTGGTGCATAGTTCATTAGCCTACCAGAATACTACTCCAGGATGTTGGGACTAATAAAAAGTATAATGTAGATGCCTTGATACCTTTTTTTCTCTTTTAATTTGTGTATTCATATGTGCATACATTGTTTGGGCCCTTTCTCCCCCTTGCCCCCCCTCGCTTCCAGTCAGAATCTGTTCTGCCCGTATCTAATTTTGTTGAAAAGAAAATATAAGCAATAATAAGAAAGACAAAGTGTTTTTGCTAGTTGAGATAAGGATAGCTATACAGAGAGATTCCTAGCATTGCTTCCATGTACAAATGTGTTCCATCCCAAGTCGATTCATCTCTAACTGACCTTTTCACTAGTTCCTGATCCGCTTCTCATATTGACCTCTGTCGCTTTAAGGTTTCTGTATTAGTTCCTCTGCAGTGGGGACATCAAACACTATCATGTTTTGGGTTTCTTACCTATCCCCATACCTCCCTTGTGTGCTCTCCCCTTATGTGACCCAAGTCCAACCACATTGCTGTATTTGCCCTAGATCTAAAGTCCGCATATGAGGGAGAACATATGATTTTTGCTTTTCTGAGTCTGGCTAACCTCACTCAGAATGATGTTCTCCAGTTCCATCCATTTACTTGTGAATGATAAGATTCCATTCATCTTCATGGCTGAGTAAAATTCCATTGTGTATAAATACCACATTTTCTTGATCCATTCGTCAGTAGTGGGACATCTTGGCTGTTCCCATAACTTGGCTGTTGTGAATAGTGCTGCAGTACACGTGGGTGTGCAAGTGCCTCTGGAGTAACCTGTGTCGCATTCCTTTGGGTATATTCCCAGGAGTGGGATTGCTGGATCATACGGCAGATCTATGTTTAGATTTTTAAGAAGCCTCCAATTCGTTTTCCAGAGTGGTTGCACTAGTTTGCGTTCCCATCAGCAGTGTACAAGGGTTCCTTTTTTCCCACATCCTCACCAACACCTGTTGTTAGTGGTATTTTTAATGAAGGCTGTTCTGACAGGGGTGAGGTAGAATCTTAGTGTGGTTTTGATTTGCATTTCCTTTATGGCTGGAGATGGTGAGCATTTTTTCATGTGTTTTTTGGCCATTTGAATTTCTTCTGTTGAGAAAGTTCTGTTTAGTTCATTTCTTTATTGGTTCATTGATTTTGGGGGAGTTGAGTGTTTTGAGTTCCCTGTATATTCTGGTTATCAGTCCTTTGTCTGATGTATAGCTGGGAAGTATTTCCTCCCACTCAGTGGGTGATCTCTTCAGTTTAGAGACCATTTCTTTTGTTGTGCAGAAGCTTTTTAATTTTATGCAGTCCCATTTGTCTATCCTTTCTCTTAGTTGCTGAGCTGCTGGGGTTCTATTGAGGAAGTCCTACCCTATACCTATTACTTCTAGAGTGTTTCCTGCTCTTTCCTGTACCTGTCTGATATCCTGCCTGATATTAAGGTCCTTGATCCATTTTGAGTTGGTACTAGTACAGGGTGATAAACATTTGATACCTTTTTAGTGTATTTTATATGGTTCAAATTAGTATTTGACTTTATTGCTTGATAATTTGGGTTAAAGAGATGACTTTTTGGTTATTATTACTTACGGGTGGTTAAATATCCTTCAGGAAAGCAAACTCACTGATCCGTACTTGTAAAAGCACTTACTGCAACAATAAGCTCCTTCACAATGGTTATTAAAATTATCATATTTATGGGACCTATATCCAAGATGTTTGTAAGTTGTAATTGTTAACTGAAGTTGATAAAATAAACAAAGCTAAAATTCAGTTTTTTTCTTGGAAGAATGTTACTTTCTCAATTTTAGGGTGGCCTAGATGTTTGTAATTGAGTAAGAGGGAATCTTACTAACCATCATTGTGGGATTAATTTAAGCTGTTAACTTTTCTTAAATTCCCATTGATATCAGATTAAATATATTTAAAATAAAATTTTAAGGTTGTGCCATAATATAAATCATTAGTCAAAATCTTATTACTGACTGAGTATAGTTCAAATAAAAGTTTATTAACAGGTGTTTGGAAATAAAAGGCCAGAACACAATATTGTAGTTCATGTTTCACAGATGTAATAGGAACAGTCTGCAAGATAAACTTTCTCATTGAGTTGTAGGATCACACTTATGAAAAGGACTTAGGGAAGAGCCAGTAACTATGCAGAGACTTTGCTTTGGAAACTGCTGTTCACAGCTGTCACTGTGTGAAAGGACTCTATTCATGGTATTACAATCTCAGGACAAAGTAGATGTTTTTGGCATTATAGTGATGTTACACCAACAGGATTTTTACTGATTCAGTGTAGCAGTGGATCATTAATGAAGAACTTTGTGGAATCAGATTCATTTCAGAATCAGATCTTTATAGTGGTTTACCTATTAGACTTACATTGTAAGGCTTTTGTTTCAGTTTGTTTTTTAACAAAGGGGGGAACCAACTTGGACAAGGATTTGGTTACATTTTTTAAGAATTAAAAGAATTTCATAGCTAATTAAGTATATCTTAATTGCAAATGAAATATGGACAGTAATGTGGGGGATGTGAGAAAAGTCAATTTTAGTCATAAATTCTAAATCCTGTAAAGATATTTGTTGGGCTGTTTTGAATACTATGTAGTTTTATTTTGTGTGTGTACACATGTTCATGAGTGTGAAACATCAAGAGTGGAACAAAATGTCAGTCTACCTATGAAACTATCTAGAATTGTGATATACATGCATGTGTATACATGTGTATAAATAAATAGATAATATACTTTTCATCTGATTATTACCACTTTCCACTGATATTTATTTGCATCCACCTGTTAACTTCTCTAGGAAGTACTCAGGGTCTCTAGGTCAGTTTACTATTATGAAATACTTTTTAGATATAGATGAAAATATTTGTCTTTGATTTCTGTTTATTTATAAGGTGGACTCTCAGTATCCTCCTGTTCAGAGACTTATGACCCCAAAGCCAGTTTCCATAGCAACAAACAGAACTGTCTATTTTAAACCATCTTTGACCCCATCTGGTGAATTAAGGAAAACTAATCAAAGAATAGAAAAAAAGCACAATGTGAGTATATGTTTATTTTTAGCAGTCTTTTTTTTTTAAGCCGATCTTTGAATACTAGTTGGAATAAGTAAGAATAAATAATATACAATACAAATACTGTACTGTTATGACCTAGTGATTATGTAACGCATAAAGTTTGTGAAGTAGTGATGATTATGAATTGGTATGCCTTTAAAATAGCTTTCACCTTAATTAAATTCTAAACTAGTGTTTCCAAGTAAACAATATGTATTCATTGTCTATTTTTGCCAGATTTGCTTTACCTACATGTCTTATTTATGTGACTTTTTTTTCCTAGGTTAGGGTGTACAAGGGGGGATACATTGTGATATTACATATGTGCTTACAGTGTATCTTTCTTCACCTCTCCATCCCTCTCCCTCATTTTACCCTCCCTTCACCCCACCATGTGCTGATTATTGAACTACCTGGAAGTAGATTTCCAATATCACATCTTTCGACCCCCTAGGTGCTTTGGGCGTGCCTCTCCTAAGTGCTTTCTCCTGTATTATCTCATCTGACAAACATTAATGTCAGGGCTGGAGGCATGAGTTCAAACCCTAGTACTGCCAAAAAGAAAAATTAATGTCAGTCTGCTTTTCAAGTTGTTGTATTTTTGTAGCTGCTTTTCTGAACCCAGATCCAAACAGGGTTCAGACATTGCTTTTGATTGTTTTTCTAGGCTTTAGCCATCAAAACATTGAATTTTAGCGCATTTTCATGACCACCTCTCAATCCCCCAAAATTCTTTTATTCTAATAACTTAGAATGGTATTCTCAAGGTATATCCGTACTGTAGGAGGCACCATTATTGGTGTTTTTTTTTTTTTTTTTTTTTTTTTGCTTTTGTTTTTGTTTTTTTTTTTAATTTAATGGTTGAATACTCTTTCATTACCTGGATATGTTTAGTCATTATGTGAGGGATTTTTTTTCACTTTTGACTATAATGAATGATACTGCTTTAAACGTGTACAAGTGGTTTTTTTGTGGACATGTTTTCTCTTGGGTCTGTGCTGGGTAGTTGAAGAGACAATGGTCTTATAAATGCCCACATCCTGAATTTGTCTTATTTCCTTGTGTCATTTAGCTAAGCTTACATATCATCTTACTATTTGTTTTCCTACTCATATTTAATCTTAATTACAACTCAAGTTCTTGAAAAACTTCAAGTCGAAAGAATAGTACAGTGTTTCTCATTTCATCATTTTCATTTTACGTATTATTTTTACTCTCCATACTTCTTAATTGCATTAAAATTACAATATTTTGAGCAAGATTTTGGATGTTCAGATTTGCAAGGTTTTTGTGTGTGTGTGTCAGGATCAAACCATTAGCCTTGGGCTTGCTAGGCAAGGACTCTGCCACTGAGTTGCATCTCATGCCCACAAGAAAAATTTTAAGCACTCCACATTTTACTGCATTTGCTTTATCTGTTTTTCTGAGTATCCTACGAACAAGGAGGTCTCTTACATAACGCATGGTAGTGATTAAACCCGGGACTTAATATTGGTACAGTTTTATTTTCTAATCTACAGATCTTTATTTAGATATTACTGTTGTCCAAAAGGGGGGGGTAAAAAGCTCAAGATGATGTCTTGCGTTTAATTGTCATATCTTTGTCTCCTTTAGTCCAGAACAGTCCTTGTGTGCATTTCACAACATGGGTATTTTGAAGTACAAGTCAGTCATTGTGTAGAGTGTCAGGCAGTTTAAGATTGTCTTTAGGGTTAGATTCGAGTGAAGGAGTTCTCAGCTTTCCTCAGTGCTCACAAGCCACATGTTCTCAATCCGTCCCATTAATGGCAGTGTAATTATTAGTTAATATGTCGTCTCTGGGCCTTCTCCATTATACAGTTAACTATTTTGCCTTTTGTAAAAGTATTATCTCGTGAAGAGATAATTCTGAAATTCTGGAAATACCTTTTGCCCACTAACTTCAGCATTTTTGATGAGTCTTTTCTAAATGTATTATTCGTTGAGTACTTCATGATGGTTTTCTGATTCTGTTCATTTATTTGTACATGTATTGATATTTTACTATGAGGAAGAATTTTCTTTTATGTATTTAGTTACTCACATTCTTGAATTCAGTAGATTATAATCCTTTATTATCAGACTGGGTGCAGTTGCTCAGTGCTATAATCCTAGCTTCTTGGAAGATAGAGATTGGTAGAATGCCAGTTTGAGGTCAGCCCAGGCAAAATATTAGGGAGACACCCCATCTTATCAGTAAGCCACATGGGGTAGGTGATGTTTGTGATCCCAGCCACAGGGAGGCATAGGTGGGAAGATCATGGTCTGAGGCTGGTGTGGGCAGAAATGAGGACCCTACCTGAAATAAAGCAAAAAAGGGCTGTGGAGTGTGGCTTTATATGTGTTCCATTTTGTTTTGAACACTTTTTTTTTTCATATTACAAGGTAACCCGAGTTCAAGTTATACATTTCTTGCTCCATTCCTGTAATTAGCCATTTCTTTAAAGAATATTGATTTCTTTTCATGGAAGGACTTTTAAGTTGCGGAAAATCATTTCAAAAGGAATATCCTTGTCGCTGGAGGCGTGGCTCAAGCAGTAGCGTGTCTGCCTAGCAAACTCAAATCCCTGAGTTCAAACCCCACTATAGCTTTAAAAAAATGTCAAATAGAATATTCTTGTAAATTTACTTATACACTTAATAAGGCAAAAACAAGTAAAAATATTTTTAGGTCAGTAAGTATATTGATGATTCTAAACAATAAAATTTATGGGAAGAAAGATGATATTAAGAAAATTAAGCAAGTAGGTCTGGGATGTTGCTCAGGTCAGCATGCACAAGGTTGCTGGGTTTCAATCTCTTGCCCCTACCCCCAATTTTTTTTTGTTTTTAAATAATTATGCAACTTTTTTTTTCCCTTCTAGACTATATATGAAAAAAATGTGACACCAAGACAAAATAGAGAACAAGAAAGGTAATGTCATTTCACATAAAGTTAGAGGTTTTTAACATATAAGGCCCATATTCAGTTTATAAATATCTTTCTGAAGATTAAGAAAATTAAAAATAGAAACTATCAAAAAACTTTTTAAAAGTTACATTCAGTTATATTTGTATCTTTTGCTTGTTAGCAGGTCTCTTAAGTATTTAAGAATTTATGGATCAGAATAATATCTCAATTGTTTTAATTTTCTTTTTATTTGCCAGTGGCTTTTCATACCCAAATTTCAGTATTCCTGCAGCCAATGGTTTATCTTCTGGAGTAGGTGGTGGAGGTGGCAAGATGAGACGGGAGAGAACACGCTCTGTTGCTTCTAAACCCCCAGAGGAGGAGGTAGGGTTATAGACTTAAATACTCTTAATACTCTCGAAGTGGTAAGGGGAGACCTGCAGGGGTGGGGCAGAATAATTTGACATTTAGACAGCCCGTTCAAAATGTGAATACCCAGAACTGAACTTAGTGGCTTAAATTTCATGAAACAAAAATAAAATTACCATTCTCCTAACAACATTACTGTATAGTTTTCCTGTTTCTAAAACATATAAATGGTTAATTCTGTATTCTCACTTGCCCTTTTCTCTATTGTGTGTATGTGTTTAATTTTCCTGCTATAAATTTAATGCACTATGTAGGCTTACCACCATTAATCCATTCGACTATCAGGGACTATTTGGGTTGATTCCCAGCATGTGCTCAGTGAATATCTATACACTTTTCCTTCTGTCCATGAGCAATATTTTCTCTAGATTATTTGCCTAGGAGTGGAGTTGTTGGATTGTAGGAGTTATCACACATCCTCTCATGTGTTAGATGTTGCCAGATTGCTCTCCAGGATAGTTTGATGGTCTAATACTTCATGACAATAGGTAGGTCTGCTTTCTTTCTACCCTTAGCCCTACTTAATTTTGTTGACTTGAATTTTTCGCCAATGTGATGACAAGTATGATCATTGGAGTTTTTTTGTTTGTTGTTTTTTTCGGTGCTGGGGACTGAATTCGGGGCCTTGCACTTGCCAAACAAGTGCTCTTCCTCTTGAGCTAAATCCCCAACCCTGATCATTGGAGTTTTATTTCTGCATTTCCTTGTTTATTTCAGGAGGACATTTTTTGTGTGCTTTTTGGCCATTACGTTTTTTTCTTTGGGGTTATGTCTTTAATTCTGACCTTGAATGTTTGCAAAAGATAGATACTAATACTAACTGAGGATAGCTTAGTTAACCTTTCTGTCTGTAGTTGCTCTCCCACCCCTTTTTTTTTTTTTTTTAAAGAAGAGAGTTTATCTCACTAGGTCAGTTAAGCTCTGGTACAATTGTTTTCATTTATCATTTGTTTCTCATTAAAATTTCATTTGTATCCTCTTTGACCCATGAGTGTTAGTGTATTTTTAAGTTTAACACTTCTATTAACTCTAAATTCATGTTTTGACTGAAGTTGTCGGGTGTCTTATAGTGTTAGTTTTCTTCATATCCATTGGTATTTTGCTTTGCATACTTGTTTGGGGGAGGGGAGAGTCTCGAAAGAACTTTTTATTTCTCCTTTTCCTAGTTAGTTCTGTATTTGTGCCTCAGGCATCCCAGAATCATGACTTTTTTGGCAGTTTGGACTTCTGCTATATAATCTGCCTTTGCTGTGATAATTGTGATTTTTGCTAAGGGCCTTGGCTCAGCTACTGGTTTGGAGGCTGTCTCTTTCCCTTAGGTTCTGCTTGTAATTCTGCTTCTGGAGTGTTGTGAAGAGAGGAAAATGTATCAGTGTGTTCTATCAACTTGAAAAAAGTCTTCAGACTTGAATGCAATAGATCATAATATGTACAACTTTGTATTTTTGTAGCAAACCATTTCACTTTTTGTGTAAACTTTATGAATTATGTTTAAGAAATAGGTTACCTGGACTGGATATGAATATTAGTGGTAGGGCACTTACCTTGCATTCAAGTGAAGCTGTAGGTTCAGTCTCAAGCACCACAGGAAGGAAGGAGGGAGAGTGTGAAGGAAAGGAAAAAGGAAACTTTGTATAAATTTGGAATTTAGTTTGTATCTGATTATAAGATTATTTGTTAGTTAAGCATTTTATTTTTCAGTGAGTTTGTGGCCCTTACTTTCTTATGTTTATTTATCCCTGTATGAGGAAAGCACTGTGAGCTTGATTTTATGTTTGCCAGGTGACAAATTATATAGGTTTTGCTCACTTCCCTTCAAGTTTTGTTTTGTTTTGTTTTTGTTTTTTCAGAACCGGGGTTTTAACTCAGGCAAGCACTCTACCACTTGAGCCACATCTCAGCCCACTTCCCCTTCAGTTTTTAAATGTGCAGTTTCTATCTATAGTCGTAAGCTAAAGTTCAAGCTGGTATTTGTAGCTTAATTTTATCAGTCTTCTAGGTATGTCTTCAGTGTCTTTCCTGTATATGGACAATATTATTTATTCTGTTCTTGTTTGTTTGTTATACTAACTCTGAAATGCTCTAAGAACATACTCAGTTCCTCCTCTTCCCTATTGTGCCCAACTGCCAGTTTCCATCCCACTATGCCTCACACTTTTCCATCCCTGGCTATGTTCCACATTGGAGTTACAGTCTCCACTTTCTGAGGAAAGAGCTACTAATGGGATGGCTGACCTATATTCTCTGCCCATGCTTATCTGGACACAATAGTTTTAGAGTTCTGTACTTACTTTGAATACAATGTTGGGGGGGTTATTGTTGTTGTGTTCATATGTCAAATACGTTCAAGCACTAGTGTCTTACTTTGTTCAGTTGTGTTTAGTGTAAAGTTTTTGTAAAGTACTGACTTGATTTTCTTGGTGGGTATTTTAATTTGTCTTTGGAAAAAATTAAATGAAAGATTATTTTTAATGGAATGTTATCATTAAAAGTCTGAGATAAACAGAATAGGTAAATACAGTAAGACTGAGTTTAGAGAAATTAAATTGCTTGCTATTGTTATATACAATCTGGCCACTTACTAGCTGAGTGACTTTGGTCAACTTAATTTCTTTTTTCTTCCTTGGTTTCTTAACTGTAAAATGGGAATGAGAAAAATATATTTTAGGCCTTCATCTATGGGATATCTGCCATTACCAGCTACATATAATATAGTAAGTCTACTTTATTCACAGATTTATTACAGATTTTTTGATATGTAAATTTTTAAAAAAATTTTTATTTTTTTATTATTCATACATGCATACAATGCTTGGGTCATTTCTCCCCCCTTCCCCCGCCCCCTCCCTCCTCCCCTCTTACCCCTCCATACCTGTCAGAAACTATTTTGCCCTTATTTCTAATTTTGTTGTAGAGAGAGTATAAGCAATAATAGGAAGAAACAAGGGTTTTTGCTAGTTGAGATAAGGATAGCTATACAGGGAGTTGGCACACATTAATTTCCTGTGCATGTGTGTTACCTTCTAGGTTAATTCTTTTTGATCTAACCTTTTCTCTAGTTCCTGGTTCCCTTCTCCTATTGGCCTCGGTTGCTTTTAAGGTATCTGCTTTAGTTTCTCTGCATTGAGGTCAACAAATGCTAGCTAATTTTTTAGGTGTCTTACCTATCCTCATATCTCCCTTGTGTGCTCTTGCTTTTATCATGTGCTCAAAGTCCAATCCCCTTGTGTTTGCCCTTGATCTAATGTCCGAATATGAGGGAGAACATAAGATTTTTGGTCTTTTGGGCCAGGCTAACTAACCTCACTCAGAATGATGTTCTCCAATTCCATCCATGATATGTAAATAAATTTTTAAAAATCAAATTTCAAAACAAAAAGTTTTTAATTCCCAGGTACACATTATGTACCTCAGTTGATGTAGAAAAGCTCTGTCACTCATTATTGTCAGTTTTGTTTAAATTGCTGTGTGATCAGCTGAATATTTCCTTATCCTTAATTTTGTGAAAAATGCCATCCAAAAAGCAAGGTGAAAGCTAATGTAATCTTCCTAAGCCAAAAGGTTTCATAACATGCTTAATTTAAGTGATAAAGTGAAAAATTTGAGATGTGTTAATAGACAGCGTATCTTTAGCAGAAGTTGGATGGTATTACAGGAAAACTGAATCAGACATCTTCAGTATAGTGTGATCCTGAACTCTGCATCCTAAGCATTCATGGTTTTCTTCTGTGGCAGTCTCTTTGGAACCATATACCTGTGGATACCAAGGGTCTGCTGTATTAGACCATGAATCTCCCTGCCTCAGTTTCTTCCTGTCCAGCAGTAGTATCTACCTTATCTGTGATAACTCATATATATTACAAAGCTATCACATTGTAGGTCATCAGATATTTGAAGAGTGTGTTCAGCTTAAGGTATCTGTAAAGCCTCCAGTTAGCAGAATTCTTGGCCTCTTTTTTTTTTTCCCCCTCCTAAAATAATGGAACTTAGAATTTAATAAGTCAAAATTTGGGAGAAGAGGAATCAGATTATAGAATTGACTAAAGGTCAGTAATAGAAAGAAGCAATATGGTCGTTTGTTGCTTAATGAATTGGCTTGAGAATAGTAGATTATATAGTCAATGTTTCTAGGGCTCTACAGGCAAGAAAATAATGTTCACTGTTGGAGATGGAAAAAACTGCTCATAATACCTAGACACATCTTTTGTTTGTGGATGAGCGTTCATATTTTTTCCTAATTTCCCATTTGATCTTGTGTTTATCTCAGATTATCTAAAAGCGTGGTTTAATCTTTTAAGTAGTTGGGTAAGGGAGTAAGTGACTTCTAACTGCAGTGTGATTAGAGAAAGATTGAGATCAACACTTACGTGTGTTTAAATGAATAGCCCAGCAGTTGTTCTGCTTGATAATTCTTGAGCAGTATGTATTCTGCAATAGCTGGGTATTGTGTTCTATAGATATCAGTTAATAAGGTGACTGATACTCCTTAGATCTTCTGTACTCTTTTTCAGTTTTTTTGAGGGGAGTGGGAGTATGGTAGATGTATTAAATTATCGATTACCAACCTTTATTTGTTGAATTTGTATTGAACTTAATTATCAATTTTTGCTCATTAGCGCACCCCTCATTTTGAACTCATGGCCTCACACTTGCTTGGTAGATGCTCTTCCACTTGAACTATTCTGCCAGCCTGCCTTACATTTCTTATATGACCCTATAATGATTTTCCCTTTTAATATTAAGTGTTCTCTTAAAAAAGCCTTACAAATATTCTTTATCTTGAAATCGGTGTCTGGTATTAATAAATCAACTGTATTTAGTAATCATGGGGTATAACTTTTTATGTCCATTTACTTTCAGCCTATTTTTATATTTAAAGTAAGTCTTATGTACACAGTATATAGTTGGGTCTTGCCTTTCAATGGGAATGCTTAATTCATTTGTAGCTGATGTAATTATTGATCAGGTTGGTTTAAGGTGTGCTATTTTCAAACACTTTTCTGTTTTTCCCATTTTTTTTATTTCTCTTGCGCATTTTGAAAGTTGCCTGTTTTGGAGTCAGTCTAATCCTTGTAAGAATTCCTTTTTGTTAGTTTTTTTTGCTATGTCTCTGCATTAGCTAGTGGTTCCCCTTGGCTATGTGTTTCCTTTATACAGACTATTATGTTACATATGTACCACTTATAAAATTTAAGAATTTTGAAATTATGTAGTTAGATTTGCTACTTTTCTTCTCCGGCATTTGTTACAGATTTCATCTATATCACTGACTATAGACAGACTATAAACCCACAGTATATATTCTTTTTACAGTGTCATATAGTTACATGTATTTTAAAGAAATAAAAAGGTGTTTTATGTTGTCTCACATATGCTCCATTTCTTTCTGAAATCTAAGTTGCCACTCCATACCATTTCCCTTCAGCCTGAAGAACTTGTAGAGCAGTGTTTTATGGCAATGGTAATGACATTCAAATCTTGTTTAGTTTTTTTAATTCAAGAAGCCCCATTCTTAATATTGGAGAGTGCTGCCTTCCTCCTATTCTAAGTTTGCCTATAACATGAAAGATGAAATGTGTCATTAAAATATTTTGTGTTTTAGGAAATAGAAGTTCCAGTATTACCGAAAATCTCTCTGCCAATCACCAGTTCTTCACTGCCAACCTTTAATTTTAGTTCTCCTGTGATCACAACTTCCTCTCTCTCACCCACCAGTCCGTCTCAATCATTAGCAAACAAGGTACACGACCATTGTATAAATTTAAGTGATTTTTGTTGTTATGCTTTTTTTGAAAAATGTAATACCCTTTTTAAAGAATATGCTCTTACAGCACTGATTGATTTTCAATGTGGAAGTTAATAGCTCACAGTAAGCAGAAAGAAGTGGGCGGAGAACTGTCAGGATTTTATTTATTTTGAGGGTGGAGGATTGAACCCAGGGCTCGATGCATTAGGCTACATCCCTGGGGGCAGGGGAAGGAGGGGTTGTATTACATATATGTGTATATAGTATTCTTCATCTTCTACACAATACTTTAGAGAAAGATGACTGTAAAGTTTCTTTACAAATAAAATATTTCCAATAAAATAGTTTTTGGTAGTAATAAGATGGTAGATGTATGTTTTTACTTCTCAGATAGGATTAACATCTTTAATTTGATCCTGAGATTTTTTTGTTGTTCCTTTTTGCTTTTTCTGAACATATTTGTAAAGCTATTATTTTCTCCTTTGGACAAATACCCACTTTTAAGATTTTATATATATTTCTCTTCCATGAGGAAGTCAGATTTTAGTTTCTTTGAACTAGTTTTCTTAATGTCTATTGTCAATTTTAAATTGTTGTTCTTACGTTACTTTTAAAAACTTTAGCTTATATTTATTAGCATACAGTGATACAGTACAAGAGGGTTTCATTGTGATAAATTTCATAGACTCGTACAGTGTACCTGAAATTCACCCTTTCATATTTCCTTACTCATTTTTTAATAATTTGGAAAACCAGGTACAAATGAGTTCTCCAAGCAGCACTGGCAGTCCTATGTTTAGATTTTCATCTCCGATTGTAAAGTCTACTGAGGCGGATATACTACCTCCATCATCTGTAAGTAGCAAGCATGGAACATTTCATCCGTATTGATTTCAAAGCCATGCTATATTTATATCAAAATCTTAAGATGCCAATGGGTAGTAAAAATGCTTATTTTTCTTCCACTAAACAAACAAAATTCAGTGTACAGAAAATTTAAATGAACAATTATATATTCTTCACTATACATAAACACACATGCTTTCATTTTCCTATGTCATTTGATAATTAGGAGGCAGATTTTTTTTTTAATTTTTATTTTATTCATATGTGCATACAATGTTTGGGTCATTTCTCCCCCGTTCTCCCGCCCCCTCCCTCCTCCCCTCTTACCCCTCCCTACCCGGCAGAAACTATTTTGCCCTTATCTCTAATTTTGTTGTAGAGAGAGTATAAGCAATAATAGGAAGGAACAAGGGTTTTTAACTAGTTGAGATAAGGATAGCTATACAGGGAGTTGACTCGCATTGATTTCCTGTGCGTGTGTGTTACCTTCTAAGTTAATTCTTCTTGAACTAACCTTTTCTCTAGTTCCTGGTCCCCTTCTCCTATTGGCCTCAGTTGCTTTAAAGTATCTGCTTTAGTTTCTCTGCGTTGAGGGCAACAAATGCTAGCTAGTTTTTTAGGTGTCTTACCTATCCTCATACCTCCCTTGTATGCTCTTGCTTTATCATGTGCTCAAAGTCCAGTCCCCTTGTTGTGTTTGCCCTTGATTTAATGTCCGCATATGAGGGAGAACATAGATTTTTGGTCTTTTGGGCCAGGCTAACCTCACTGTGAATGATGTTCTCCAATTCCATCCATTTACCAGCGAATGATAACATTTCGTTCTTCTTCATGGCTGCATAAAATTCCATTGTGTATAAATACCACATTTTCTTAATCCATTCATCAGTGGTGGGGCATCTTGGCTGTTTCCATAACTTGGCTATTGTGAATAGTGCTGTAATAAACATGGGTGTGCAGGTGCCTCTGGAGTAACCTGTGTCACAGTCTTTTGGGTATATCCCCAAGAGTGGTATTGCTGGATCATATGGTAGATCAATGTTTAGATTTTTAAGTAGAAGAGGCAGATATTTTGAGTCCCTTAATACTTCTCCATGGATGCTCTAAGTAAAACAACATTCCTTTTCATTCATTCAATAGTTAACATACCTAAGAAATTTAATACATTATAATAAAATAGTTCATATTTGGATTTCCCTGTCCTTCCCAGACTGTCCTTTTATTGTTTTATTTCTGTTCTTCCTAGATCCAATTAAAGACAAGAATCTAATCAACTGTATCATACTGTATTTAGTTAACACCGGACTGTTTTTCTCACACTATGTATTTATTTATTCATGGCTAGGAAATTTTTTTTGCTAAGAATAATACACAAATTTAATGTTCAAGTCTTCCAGATTTGGCATTTACATCATTTTAACATGTTACCTCCCATTTTTGACTTTGTTTTTATTTACTGTCACAACTAGGTGTTGCAGGTGAACTACAATTTTTTTGCTGCGTGCCTGAAATCCATTTGTTAACCTCAAAAATTTCATGCTTTATGTTAAAAAATAGCACTCAGAAACTTAAAACTAAGCATTAGGAGCACACCATTATTTTATTATTTTATGTGTTGTTTTGAAAGAAAAAAATGCCTAAGAAATTAAAAATGCTATCAAACTATGACATGCCTTTCCATATCATTCATTCACTCATCCAGGGTCTTGTTGTGTTGTCCAGGCTGTACTCAAAATTCCTGGGTTCAAGTGATTATCATGCCGTAGCCTCCCAAGTACTGGGTCTATAGGTGCACCAACATTCCCATGAATGTTTATGGTGAACTCCCATGTTTAGACATTTTAAAAACCTTACCTTAATTAGAATAGGTGAAATTTAGTATGTTGACTTGTAATAGAGCTAAGTTCTCTTTGTTTAAAAATAATATACAGTTAAAAGATACCTTTTCTCTTTATAGATTGGATTTACATTTAGTGTGCCTGTTGCAAAAACAGAACTTTCTGGTTCTAGGACAACTTCAGAACCAATTATAAGTAATTCAGGTAAGTAAAAAGTTCTCACAGATTTTTAAAAACAACAACAACAAAAAAAAACCAATTGGATATGTTAGCAGAGTATATCAGATTCTTTCTCCTTTGGTAATTCTGAATGCCTTGACTTCAATGAAATTGTCTCTAAAAAGCAAGCAGAAACTATTATCCTTCCTACAATGCTTCTCATTAATTACATTCAGGGATAATAGGTATTAGAGTTTGATTTTCAGTGGGCTAGTCACAGTAGCAAATTTATCACTGCATTTAGTTAAAAGGCGACATATTCACTGTAATTGAAATCTCATATAAATTTAAGTGTTGTTTGTTATAATTGTGGTGAAACTAAACTTTACGTTTTACTTTGTGTTATACTTGCCTGTGCAGATAGTGATATATAATTTCTGAACTGAAGAAAACTTGATTGAAATGACTACTCGGATAATTAAAACAGGAATTTGTTGTGGTAGTGGTGGATTTCAGTGTGGGAAATGCAAAAACGTCTGGACTTAGGTCAAGAACTTTGAGCAAGAGCATATTACTGAAGAAGTGAAGATCACATGCAAGGTCATAGGAACAAGGGAAAAAGCATCGCCTACTTTTCCATTCGCAGATAGTTTGTCATGAGGTTAGAGAAGTAGTTTTAAATCCTAAAAACTCTTGAGTGTCATGCTATTCTGAATGTAGTAGGGAAGACATTGATTTTTATATGAGAGTGAGATAGGTAAGCAACTTTGTACTTCATTACATCTTAAGAAATTACCCGGATTTTGTAGAAGTTGATTGTGAGTGGCATCTATGAAGTTGTGTGTTCTCACTTTAACTCTTATGCTTCTTACCACAAGATGATTGAAAATGTGGAAGTCTGTGACAGTAGCTCATTTTTCCAGTATCTTTTTTTCTGTGTCTGAGGACATTTCAGGAAATCCTAAAAGTTTTGTGAATAAAGTAAAATCAATGAATAAAAGTCACTCATCCACTACTAGCAGCAGCTATTAATCTCTAGATACAATCATTCTAAATCCTGTAGACTTTCTTACCAACTTTTACCCAACTGCTTTTAAGAAGCTTTTTGTGGCTGCATAACAACAATTCCATCAGTCACTGTTCTGTAACCAGACCCCTCATTATTGAGTATTGTGTCACAGGCTTTCAATATTATAATGTGGGGTATTTTTTCTGAAATAACTGGCTCAGTTGAAAGTTACTTTTAGGGTTTGTTTTTTTTTTTTTGTTGGGTTTTTTTTTTTTTTGGTATTTTAAATTGCTGTGTAATCAAATAACATTTTTCAAGCAGTGGAAGAGCTTTCCCCAGTTGCCATATCCTTCTAGATTTTCAGTTTGGTGTTCTTTCACTGAACTCATTGACTGATAGTTACAGTAATCCTTCTTGCATTTTTTGTGGCATGCAGTGTGATGAGGAAATGAATAGTTTAGAAAATAGTACTTTTTAACTCCTTGTAATGGCAAATGAGCCCTGTACTTTTAGTCATCTTGTTCAGTATTTCCCACCCCCGCCCCACCCCCCAGTACTGGGGTTTGAAGTCAAGTCCTCCAGTTTGTTAAGCAGGTGCTCTGCCATTGAGCCCTTGAAAGCCCTAATATTAATACCTTATTTTTAAAGGTACATTTAACTTCATTCCATTGTTCTCCCCCCTCTTGGCATAATATTTTTATAATTAAAAAAATTACAGCTCAAGATAACACTGCAGTGAACAGGACAAGCTGTAAGAAGCGAGAAGAAGCATATGAGAGCCCTTTCAGATCTGCAAAAATCCAGAAAGAAGGAAGTGTTCTAGATATTCTGAAAAACCCTGGTAAGATAATGGCTACCCTTGAGATAGTCAGAATTTTTAATTAGAAACTCATGGTGTTATTTTTATGTTATTTGTGTTAAAATTAAGCTCTAAAAAGTAGAAGACTAGTTAATAGGAAGTTGACTTTTGAGTGCAGATGTAGTCAAATGTAATTTTTTTCTGGGAAATATCTTAGAAACATTTACTTATTTCTTTGGAATTCAAGGACTCTGAACTAATAGTGAAATCTCTTTAAGAGATATGTGTAAAAGAAGAAATTAAATTGCTTGTTAATAGAACATAGGTCAGTGGTGAATAAGAGTAAATCAATAAGCCTGATGCTATAACTAGTCAAGTCTTTGTATTCCCTAGTTTAGTATATATGAGAGAAGGCCAAGTTGCCTGAATTTTAACATACATACATATATGAAGAGAGGGAGAGAGCAGTATTCACTTAAAATAAGATTTAAAAAGTAGTACTTGATATAAGAAAGTATTTTATTTTTTAATTGACACAGTATTTGTACTTACAAGGCATAGCATTATAATTTGATACATGAATACAAATGTTCAGTGATTTAAATCAGGATAACATAGGTAATAATATGAAAGGGGTGAATAGAATTGTTCAAATAGGAATAAATTTTCAATTTGAAGTCAAAGAGAGTATTCATATTCTCTATTGTGATGTATACTGCGAGAATATAGGCAGAATACAACAAAACTTGGAACAGTAGTACTCATCAGTAAATTAATTCAGACAAAAGTACTGAACTAGAAATTCCTAGAGGGAGATGATGTACTGCAAAGAAAACCTCTGTTCTAGGGTTTTAACTAGGAATAAGTGTTACTTACTAATTATACTTTTCATAAATACCTTGAGTTGTAGTAAACCTGTAATATGGTAATTATGCTTTGCTTAGATAGCATCTCTCTAATTTTGTTTTTAATGCTATCTTTTTCCTTCATTGTAGATTTCTTACCACCAAAGGTAGATTCTTTTGCTACTCAGCCTACTTCTACAAGCCCAGTAGCTTATACAAGACCAGCAATAAGTACCTTTTCTTCTAGTGGAATCGGGTTTGGGGAAAGTTTAAAAGCTGGATCATCTTGGCAATGTGACACATGTCTGCTCCAGAACAAACTTACAGACAACAAGTGTATAGCCTGTCAAGCAGCAAAATTGCCACCAAGAGAAACTGAAAAAGAGATTGGAGTTGGGACACCAAGCAAAAGTGGCAAAGCAACTCCTTCTGCGTCAGGGACAGGCTTTGGAGACAAATTTAAACCAGCAGTAGGAACTTGGGATTGTGATACCTGTTTAGTGCAAAATAAACCTGAAGCGATAAAATGTGTAGCCTGTGAAACACCAAAACCTGGAACAGGTGTGAAGCGAGCCCTTACGTTGGCAGCGGTTTCAGAAAGTCCTGTGACTATGACTGCTTCATCTTCTAGCTGCACTGTGACCACTGGTACCTTAGGATTTGGAGATAAATTCAAAAGGCCTGTGGGATCTTGGGAGTGTCCAGTATGCTGTGTTTCTAATAATACAGAAGCCAACAAATGTGTGTCCTGTATGTCTGAGAAACCAGGTATGTTTATGACTCTGGAATAATTTTGCTCATTATTCTAGAAGGGCATTTTAATTTTGTGAATCAGCTAAGAACCTTTTCCAATATTTTAAATGGTTCAGGATGATCATTTCTTTGTTCATGTTAATTTTTAAAAACCATCTTGAGGTTAAAATGACTTGGAGATAGACCTTAGGCAAGATGTATGTTAACTACTAGTCTGTTACAGAACGTAACTTTTTTCTATGTGGTTTTGTTAGAGTCTTCTTGCTATTCATGGTAAATTTTAAGGTGAATTCATGCAGATCCTGAAAGCTCTCAGAATGGGGCAGTCTTTCTCAAATTTATACAGAATGAATTGTTATTTTTGTCTCTTTCTGTATATAGAAATGAGGATAGTGGTAATTTATAGGAAATGTTTAAGATGTGAGCAGTAGTGCTTTGTGAAAAAGGATATATCTGAATATTAATGAGGAAGCCCATAGCCACTTGGCTGCATGCCAGAGGTTTTCAATGATAGTAAGTCACTGAATTGTTCATGAAGAAACTCTAACTTAGCTAGAAGAATGGAAGTAGGCATGAGATTTTCTTGATTCTCTGTTCAAAGGTGAAAGAATTATTAAAGATTCACATCAGTTTTTAATTCATAAGGAACTTTGACTACTGGTTTTGTAATACTATTATATAAGTACATATATATGTTAATATGGAGACCAAATAAAACATGAATGTCCTGGGAGTTACACTTATTTCTATTACATTAAATATGTGTAGCTTCATGTCTTAATGTGAAGCTTTTAAGTTGCCAGTCAGACCCTTTTGCCTGAACACTTGAGCCATTTTTCTAATTCTTGCTGGAATAAGATTTCTATTCCACAAGAATAAGATTTCAGAATCTTCATTCCAACTATCTTTCTCTTCCCATCTGGCACCATTTCTTTCCTCACTTCAATAAATAAAGCCCTTGATACCTGCAGAAAACCAAAATTCTGACTTGACAGAAGAGTAATAGAACTTTGGACCAGAAAGTAAACTATTACACAGGAACAAAAAGAGGCTCATAAAGGTTTTAAAAGAACTTGGACTTGTAAATGTTGAATCATCATTTTCAGCAAGGAATGATTTGGTCAGACTTTTAATTGTGATAAGTCAAGCTGGCTTTTTGAAGTGAAGGCAACAATTTGAAGGACAGCTTAGGAAGTTGTATGAGTAGTATAGACAGTAGACAATGGTTATGTGTACTAATGGAATCAAACAAGGGAGGAAAGATACACAATGAGATGCAGTTGAAGAAGTGTTTTTCCAAGCCACTGAAATTGGCATTCAGATATATGTGAGGCCTTTGGATACACTGACATGGGCCACAGACCCATAGTAATGGAGTATTTAAAGCCACGGGAGTAGAAGTGAATTGAGTAGAGAAGAGGGTCCAAAACTGGATTCTACTAACTTAAGGAAGTGACAGGAATAAAACTTCAGAACAGTTTTTAATATGAGTAAAGGAGTAATCTGAGAGGAAAAAAGCGAAAGTGTGTGGCATTAATAGCTTCTGAGGAGGATGTGTTTCAAAGGACTTAAGAGCAGAGGTTTCAATAAGAAGGCTACTATTCAAGGTAGAGATAAGGGGGTCTTGAGCAAGAGTAATAGAAGGATCAAAAAAAGATTGAAATAAATTTGAGAAATATTTAAGGGAGGAGAGGCCATCTAGCTACGCTAAGCAAATAGGCAGTGGGACCACCAACTAAGACAAGCTCATAAAGGTGTAGGTTGCAGGTACAGATTGGGAAACTTATGTTAAAGTTTAAAAACCATCAGTATGGACAGGCAGTGGGCCAAAGATGAGACCCCCAAGGAGCAATTTTGTAAGCCAGATGGGAAATTCCTACAAAATTGCTTAGGTTAACTATTGGAGAATTGAGCACAAGTAGAGACTGTTTGGAGAAGTGGGGATACTAGAGTGAATGATTCTACACTCAACAGACATTGTTTCTTGCTGAGTCATCTTCTGTGCTGGTCTGCTTAAAGATTTATCAGATCTGTGAATCCTTTTCATGCCTTGTAGTCATTTCTTCTTTACAAATTTACGGGTTTTAGATCATTTATCACATGGTGATGGTATACCGTGCATTCGTTTTTCTTTCTTTCTTTGAAACCAGTAGTACCTTAGGAATTAAGCATCATTTTTTTCTTCTTTGTTCCCAGATCCTAGTTACATTATGGTGTTCAATAAATGTCCGCTAAATACTATATAACAGGAATGTCAAACATCGTAGAGATAGGGTTAAATTAGAAAGTGGATGATGGAATACTTTTATGCAAAAACAGTTCTTTCAAAGGCAGAGACCTATGTTTCAAAATCTTGAAATTAATATGGTATGTGGTATTTTATGTGATATAATATTGCCTATATTTCACATCTTTTTTGGGGGGAAAGTACTAAGATTTGAACTTAGGGCTTCAAACTTGCTAGACAGGCTCTCTACAACACTTGAGCCAGGCCTCCAGCCCTGTGATTTACATCTTATATCTTAGAATGGTGTGCTATTTGAAGAAATTTGATAGACATTCCTAAGGACAATTGGTCTTGTAGCCCCTAGATTGTGGACATAATTATTTTTTTTAACTGGAGTAGTTCAAAATTAAGTATAAGAAGAGGAAGCTCACTACTGAGCAAGGGCAGAGCAAGCTTTTCTTTTGTAAGGTGAAAAGTCAGACCTATTTTTAACTGTAAGGTTCACCTATTTGGAAATTTCTTTTTCTTAATAGGAAAGGATAACCCAGCACTGGTGGCTCATGCCTGTAATCCTAGCTACTTGAGTCTGAGATCAGGAGGGTCACAGTGGAGGCTAGCCCAGACAAATAGTTTAAGAGACACCAGCTCCAAAAGAACCACTTTAAAAAGGGGGGCTGGAAATGTGACTCAGGTGGTGGAGCACCTGATTTGTGAGTGCGAAGCCTTCCCTGAGTTCAAACCCCTGTGCCACCAAAAAAGAAAAAAAAAGAAAAAGATTTTAAAAATGAACATTTATACTTACTATGGTATCATTAAGATGGTGACATAATATAAATTAAGATATTCATTAGTTCCCCACCATTTTTTTTAGGAAGTTCCGTTCCTGCTTTAAGTAGCAGCACTGTGCCTGCCTCTCTGTCTTCTGGAGTCTGTCTAGGATTGGAGAAGTTCAAGAAACCTGAGGGAAGCTGGGACTGTGAAGTGTGTCTAGTGCAGAATAAAGCAGACTCTACCAAATGTGTAGCATGTGAAAGTGCAAAGCCAGGTGCAAAATCTGAGTTGAAAGGTAAGATGATGGTAAACATGCCTTTTTGTAATGTCATTTTGGGTGAAATATTGCAAACAGTGTTGTGTGGGGTTTTTTGTTTTGTTTTGCTTTGCTTTGCTTTATTTTTGCAGTTCTGGGATTTGTACTCCGGGCCTTGCACTTGCCAGGCAGGTGCTCACCACTTGAAGTGCACTTCAGCCCTGAAACAGCTTTATTTTTTAAGTTAAATTCATTTTCTATTGGAAACTCTGTAAAATGAGAAACTGTCCTTAGGTGTTTCACTTCACATCTGTCTCTGAATTACTATAAAGTTAAATTACTTTCATGTTAGTACTGAGGTACCTTTTCTGCATCTGGGTAAGGTCTTATGTTACTAAGTCTCATAGAATTTGGGTTTTTTGTTGGTGTTGTTTGTTTTTAATAACACCCCTAGATGAATTTCTTGACTCATACCACTAGAGCCTTATTATAAGGCATCTCACCTTGAGTTTTGTTTCCCAGAGAATGTCCCAGTAAAAGAATTCTCTTAATACTTTATTTTAATTAAATTTATTTAATTTAATATAAATAGAAAGGAAGAACCTCTCATGGCAATTTATGCTAAACTATCTGAAGTCTGAATTTTTTAAGTATTCATGTACTCTTAAGAATTTTTAATCAGATACACATTTCAGTTAAAATTTTGATGAAAGAGAAGAGATTTTAGATCTGTAGGACCAGTAGGGAGAGATTTTAGTTGTAAGATTTTAGTCTTTGTAACCCATCATACCCACATTATATTTGTGTGATCCAAAAACTAGTACTTAAACTTCTGGTGTGTATGAAGTACTTTGTGTTTTCTGTTTCATTTTGAAAGAAAAATGCTGATTACAGCTCACTAAATTAATTGGGTGGCTAACAGGATACAGTGGGCACTTTGAAAACCACTGCATCTGGGTGTTATGGAATACCACTGTGCTTTCCAGTCCATATGAGCTCAATCTGCAGTTGTAGCTTTATAATCATTTTCCCTTATTCTCTCCCTATGGTAAGGTGACCACCATATTTTAGATCCCTGTCTGCAGACCCCTAAGGCAGATTTGAAAACTAGTTAGCGCTTCTCTTTGGTGTTTTTAAGTTGCTGTCTAGTATCATAATACCTTAGAGAACATGTGAATAGCCACGTGGCCCTGAGATTCTACTGTAGTCTTTCAACTCATTTTTTTCTCTCTTTGTTTTTGGAACAGGGGTTTGAACTCGGGGCCTACACCTTGAGCCACTCCAACAGCCCTTTGTTATGATAGGTTTTGTCGTGTTAGGGTCTTAGGAACTATTTGCAAGGGGTTGGCTTTGAACTCTGAGCCTCCTGAGTAGCTAGGATTGCAGGCATGGGCCACTGGTGCCTGGCTGAACTGATTTTCTTTTAGGGAAAGATTGTACCTTGTTAGAAAAGGTTGTATGTTATACTCACTTTCTGGCCCTCCCGACCGTGATTTCTGTCATTGGCTATTCGGATATGTATTTGTTTTTCATTTTTCATTTACAGCTGCTTGGATCTCACGGCATTTGCAGTATATGAGTTTATCATTAAAGCCCCAGCTATCAAATTGCTCGGCCAAACAGCATATGTGATTATAATTTTTGGTACATACTAACAAATTGTCCCACACAAGTTTTGTGTAAATTTGTACTTCCATCTATGATATATGAAAATGACTGTTATTCCCAATCTTATTAGAAAAAATTTTATCAAACTATTTTGATCTCTACTAGGCTGATAAAAGGCATGTCACAGTTGTGAGGATTAAGATGTAAATGTCATACTGAATATTGGTCATACTGGTTCACGTTTATTGCCATTGGTAATACTCCTCAAAGAAGGCCTTTTCAAGTTTTCCTATGTTACTCTGGCTTTCAAGGTTTATATTTGTTTGAGAGGATAAACATATATATTTGGTGTCTTTGTGATATCTTTTATATTTTTGAAGGCTTTGGCACATCTTCTCCATCTTCAAACCCAGCAGCCTCATCCTTCAAATTTGGTATTCCTTCATCCTCTTCTGGACTTTCTCAGACCTTAACAAGCACTGGAAATTTTAAATTTGGAGATCAGGGAGGATTCAAAATAGGTGTTTCATCGGACTCTGGGTCTATAAACTCCATGAGTGAAAGCTTTAAACTTTCTAAACCAACTGGAGATTTTAAATTTGGAATTTCATCTGATTTCAAATCTGAAGCAATTAAAAAAGACAGTAACAATGATAATTTTAAATTTGGACTTTCTTCTGGCATAAGCAACCCAGGTTCTTTAGCTCCATTTCAGTTTGGGGTATCTAATCTTGGGCAGCAAGAAAAGAAAGAGGAACTACCTAAATCTTCACCTGCAGGCTTTACCTTTGGTACAGGTGTTAGTAACCCTACCCCTGCAGCCACTGGCACCACAGCGACCTCTGAGAACAAGAGCAGCTTCACCTTTGGAACCATAGAAACTAAGAGTGTCTCAGTGACTCCTTTCACATGTAAAACAACAGAAACAAAAAAGGGTGAAACGCCTGCCACCAAGGGAGGGTTCACTTTTGGCAGTATGGAATCTGCTTCACTGTTTGTTTTGGGAAGGACAGAAGAGAAGCAGCAAGAACCTGTCACTTCTACTTCTCTAGTATTTGGGAAGAAAGCCGACAACGGGGAGCCAAAGTGTCAACCAGTGTTTTCCTTTGGGAATTCAGAGCAAACCAAAGATGAGAGTTTTTCAAAGTCAACATTTAGTTTCAGTATGACAAAACCATCTGAGAAGGAATCTGAACAGCCAGCAAAGGCCAATTTTGCTTTTGGAGCTCAAACTAGTACTACAGCTGGTAAATACTAAGTTTTATTTTTTTCTTCTTTTACAAGGTGTCTTTGATACCTTAATAAATGCAGCAAATGAAGGAATGGTTTATGCAGAGCATAGTTGAAAAAGTATCAACTACAGAACTCTGGAGTAAGGATCCAAGGATTTTCAGGTTATAACTGTTCCAAATCCTTGTGATTCTGATGAGATTATCTACAGATCTAATTTTGAGAACTACAGCTCTTAATAGAAAGCTCTCAATAGTGCACACTTATATATGTCTTTGTCCCTTCTATTTGGGCCTTTTGTTTGGGTTTTTAATAATTGATTGGTTTATACTATTTAGGGAAATAAGGACTCATTCTTAAGCTCAGAAAGTATTGTGTAGTGTTTATGTAAAGGCTTTCATTTTGTAAGTAATTACAGATAACCAGCTAGCCTCAAACATTTAAGGAACATAGACAGCTAAGATTAATTAAACCCCTAGAAAACAGGTGATTTTGAAAACTAAAATCCTGTGGACCACCTGTCAGTTGACAGTATATTCAAGTAACAACTCAGGAACTGGAACCTCTCCCAGAAACAAGGACAGAGATAATGACCAGTGCACACCTGTCCATTCTGTGGACTGAGTAGCTAGTTGATAATCATATTAGTGAAATGGAATTTCTCATAGTACAAAAATAAAAAGATACTGATACATACTAGTTCTATTGAAGTAGTTCTTAAAAGGCGAGAACAGTATGGGAGAAGTATCAAAAAAGTGACAAAAAAATTTATTTATATAAAGACACTGGTCTTAAAAATGGAAATGACTCTGCTGAGGATGCAGCACAGTAATAGAGTGCTTGTATAATGTGCAAGATCCTGAGGTTGATCCCTAGTACAAGAGAGAGAGAGAACACAGACCCATATATCGACAAAAGTCAGTAAAATTTCAGGACACTGAAGTTGAAACAGTTCTTGCAGAGACAGAAAAAGCTGTTTGCCACAAATAGGTATCAGATTAGTGTCAGACTTCTAATTTGCCAACATTAAATGCTAAAAACAGTGCCTTCAAAGTAAAATTGGTCTTGAACCTAGAATTCTGTAACTAACCACATTTGTTCAGGCATAAAAGCAAAATACAGATGTTTTCAGACATGAATAGAATACACTTTTGAGTAATAACTTGGAAACACTCTGAACCTAAAAGTGAAATTCAATAAATAATGGAGCATTTCTTCCTACGTTGAAAACAACGTACAAAGCAAATAAAAATTAAAATACCATCAGGAAAGAAAACAAAAATGAGATAAAGTCTTATATTTGATCATGAAATCACTGGGCAGACTATGGTAGATCCTCCTAACTAACCTACCATTAACAAACTTAAAACTGAATCAATAGGCTCCAGTTTCTATAAATCATACTGATAACTACAGCTTACTGTGACCTTCCCTATCTAGTATGCAATATTGGATACTGGAACAGTAAAAAGAAAAAGTCTTGGTAAGATGGGTACGTTCAGAATCACTTTAGACAAAGTAGAAACTTTCCTCCAAATCACCAGTAAGTAAGACAATATAATTTAGTATGTATTTCCCAACAGTTCTAATTTATATTTTATGATAGCAATAGAATGTTAAGAGCATAAAAGAGTCATTGTTCCAGAGTGAGTATTATTTCTCCCACCCCTTTAAGTTTTGTTCTCAGAGGGATTTTTGTGGAGCTTGACAGGCTAAGCTGGTTATAAAATTTACACGAAAAGGAAAATACACAAAAAGATTGGGGAGAAGGACAGACACACAGGAAGGTTTGTCCTACTAATCTTAAATCATTATAGTTAATAATTAAAAACCATCATAATAATAACAGCAGAGGGAACAGATATGTGTATTAGGAAGTTCAGTATGTCATAAAGGTGGCATTGTAAGTTAGCAAAGGATGCATTATAAGTGCGGGGAGGAAACTGGTTATCCACATGGATAAATTGAAATTAGGAACCTGCCATATACTGCAACATAAATTGTAAAATCCTAGCATTAACAATTGTCTTGCACTGTCTGAATCTGCTATTTAAACACAGTATCAAGTTAGATTTGGAATTGAGGCATAATACTTTTTAATCTGAATGTGGAAGGCCTTCCAGGAAAAGACAGAAAATTTTGCCTATGTCAAAATAGATGTTTATTTAATAAGTAGTTCTATATAAAAATCTTCAGATTTTAGCATAGGGAAAAGTTTTCTGGGTGATTTGTTCTTAAGGATTTATGTTTGTTTCTTAATTTCTGTCTTACAGATCAAGGCACAACAAAACCAGTTTTTAGTTTCTTGAACAACAGTTCCTCTAGTTCAAGTACACCAGCCACTTCGGCTGGTGGTGGCATATTTGGTAGTTCCACCTCTTCCTCCAACCCACCTGTGGCTGCCTTTGTGTTTGGACAGGCCAGCAATCCTGTGAGCAGCTCTGCCTTTGGTAACTCTGCTGAATCCAGTACATCTCAGTCTTTGCTATTTTCTCAGGATAGCAAACCAGCAACCACAACCGGCACAGGTTCAGCTGTCACCCCGTTTGTCTTTGGACCAGGAGCCAGCAGTAATAGTACTGCAACCTCTGGTTTCAGCTTTGGAGTTACAACCACATCTAGCTCTACAGGTACTTTTACAACAGAAAGGATCATGTAGTTGAATTGGTTTTAATACGTGTTGGTTCTCTGCACACAATGCAGCAGGTTATCACCTTGCCAAATGCCTTTAGTGCCATCTATCCCTGGGATGTGATTATTCATTGGGTAGAATAATGTACAATTTGTGTTGAGATTGGATACATTTAACTCTTTAGGAACAATTTTTATAATCTTGGTAAGATGGTAATTTTTCCAAGTTTCTTCTTAAATGTCAACTTGTCAACTACTGCTGGTGATTAGTTTTATTAGTCCCAGTTCTCATTAGTTAATCAGTTCTGTAAACATTTCTGGTAGGTAGTCATCTTTTGAGATACATTGTTGGCTGCAGACATGGACAGTTGTGTTGATGGAAGTTTTTGTTTGTATGAATTCTGTGTTTTACTAAATAGTGGTAGAGAGAATTATATTCTAATCATTGTTCCAAACTTGTTTGAGGCAAGAGTCTATAAAAAAAAAAAGCTTGAAATTTGCATATGGATTTACAGGAATTTCTTGAGGATTATCTCACTGTAAACATCATGCTGATATAAGTTATTTCCTTGGTGCTCCAGGATCCTCCTTTGTATTTGGCACTGGACCTTCAGCACCATCTGCCAGTCCAGCATTTGGTGCTAACCAGACCCCAACGTTTGGACAAAGTCAGGATACCAGCCAGCCTAATCCTCCAAGCTTTGGATCTATATCATCTTCAACAGCATTATTTTCTGCTGGTTCTCAGCCTGCACCACCTACTTTTGGAACAGTGTCAAGCAGTAGCCAACCTCCTGTGTTTGGACAACAGCCCAGTCAGTCTGCATTTGGCTCTGGAACGGCTCCTAATTCTGGTAAGTTTATACTGTGATATAGTTTCCATCTGTACTTAGCATCTTTGAACATTGATGCCACACATGCCATTTTTTTCATGTCTCTTGTAGTTGACAGAATAGAGAAGTATATGTTGAGATTTATCTGTGAACAGCATTCCCAATTTTCACATAATTACAGCATTTTTAAGGTACTAAAGAAGTTTTAAGTATTTCTTAACTTTTTCACTTAGGTATGAAATTCATTCATTATAATTTCTCCTCTCTAGTCAGATTTGAATTGTGCTTTTTATGATTTTTTTTTTTTTTTTGTATGTTTGCTTTTGAGACAGGGTCTTGCTATGTAGCTATGTAGCCTAGGCTGGCCTCACTTAGGATCTTCTTGCCTCTACCTCCTTATGTGCTGGGATTATAGATGTGCACGATCATGCCTAGCTTCTAATCATTTTTATGATTAGATTTACTTGAGGAAGTTAGACGGCGACCCCCTCTCTCCTCCCAGTTTCAGTATTTGTTCCTAGGACAGGACCACTGAATTGTCTCATGATACTTTGATAGTAATACTAGCCTTTCCATTTGACTTGCATATTTAATTGAAAATTGTCATAACTTTTTAAATATGATTAATCACTGTATTTTAATAATTATTTTCTTAAAATTGTGCTGTTTGGTGTTCTAATTGTGGAATATAACCTCATGTAGAAAAGAGCATAAAACATAAATGAACCATGCAATGTTGAAGCAAATACTTGTGGTGGTTACTACCTGGATGCCCCTTAATTGATCCAGGTCCCATTGTGATTGCATTCCTCTCTTCTGTCTTCACTCTAAAGGTGATTAATCTAATCTTTTATGTTGAAACCATTCTTGGATTTTATTTAAGGTTTGCTGATAGTCATCTATAGAAGAATATAGTCTTACCTTCTTTTTATCTATATAAAGTCCTACCCTATATGATCTTTTGATTCTTTCACTCTACCTGAGCTTTATAAGGTTCATCCATGTTATTACATATAGTCTATTTTGTTGCTGTAGAGTAAATAATTCTACAAGTCTACCAGTTTATCCATTTAACTGTTGATGGATGTTTGAGGTATTTTTAGCTATTAAGAAATACTGTCCTGCGTGTTTCTGTGTACGATCCTTGGGATAAATATGCATGCTTCTCTGAAGTATACACCTTATACTTTAGAAGATGATACAGACTTTTCCTGATAGATTGCACCAATTCACATCCTGTAACCATTTTATGAGCGTTCTCATATTTGGATTCTACTTGACTTCATTCTTTTGTGAATTCTTTTTAAAATTTTTTTGGCCATTTTTCTGTTCAGTTGTTCGCCTTTTGCTTAGGTTTGTGAGTTCTTTATGTAGTGTGGTATTGGACTTTCGTCAGTTCATATGTGTAGCAAAATTTCTCTTGTGACACATTAACCATTTAAGTTGGGATTATTTTCCAATATGGAATTGAAAAGTATAGGTTTCTTTTATAAAGGTTAACTTTTCCTGTGTCCTACTGTAGAGATACCATGTGGTTAGGTTAGTATTTTCATTAGCTGCAAATATTGTTACTTGCTGAGCTGTGTGGCATGATAAGATTTTCTTTCCTATGTAGAATTTTATTTTCTCATGACACCAGCATTTACATCTTTGTTAATGTTTTCTTCATACATTAACACTACTTTCATTTGTGTAAATCTCTCCTCAGTATTTTTAAACACATTGGTTGTTTTTTAGCAACTGACAAAACTTTCTTAATCTTTAACTATCACTTTAGAGATTACATTTACCTTCCTTCCTAAAGAAACATCTTTTTCCTGGATAGCAAGTCTTCCTTCTTAATTCCTTATTGTTGATAGAGTACATCTTCCAGTGATTTTTTTTTTTTTTTTTTTGGTGGAGATGATAACCAGGCCCCAGGTCTTGCACGTGCCAGCCATGTGCTCTACCACTGAGCCACTGTTCCAGTGGTTTCTTAAAGGTACATGAAATAAAAATTTGAGGCCCTTTATTCCTGGAAGGATCTTTATTCTATCTTGATGTTTGGTAAGGTTTTAATCGAATGTAGTTTTAGATTAGAAATCAGATTTTGAAGGCATTTCTACATTGTGGACTTTCTGGCTTCTGACTTCTAGAGTTGTTTTGAAGTCTTTCTTAAAGTGTTTGCTTTTTAAAAATATTTTTTCTTTCTGGGATTCTAATTAGAATCTTTTGTTTTCCTCCAGTGTTTTGACATTAAAACTTCATACATTCATAAATTACGATTTTAAGACTTCATATCCATCTATCCAAAATTCCTTTATTGTGAATTCCAGTTTCAGGGTATTTTCCTGATTCATCCTTGGAAGAATAGCTTCCCCCTCTTCCCCCCCCTCCCCAATTTTTTTTTTCTTTCTTTCAAGTTTTGTTTTATCCTTTTCTCCCAACCTTTCTCTTTTTGTTAGATTTTTTTTTTTTAATGTTTCTTTGGTTTTGTTTTAATGTTTGTCTGTTGGTCTCTTGAGGTGCTCATGATGAATTGGTTTTCTTCCTTGCCCTCAAATTGTTTTGTCAATATTGTATAAGATTCTCAAATTTGGCTCTCATTAGTTTTATGAGTGCGAGTTGAGGACACCTAAATAACTTTGTACAATGATAAGGCTGTGAATCTTCACTCTGGGTTTATCTGGTTTATTTAGCTTTATTTGGGTAAACCTAAATGTTAGTATCTTTAGGTCTTTCCTCTCAGTCTGTTCAATTCCCCAGAGGTGATGCTTCTAATCTCCTGCTTATAGGTCATCAAGGAACTCTGCCCAGTGTTCTCGGAGCTGAGTCAGGGAGGATGGCTGGAGTTCTCAGTGTGCATTATATTATTATCTTGCTCTTAATCTCCTCATTTTCAATGTGATGTTCTGCTGTGCTTGGTGTAACCCAGTCCAGAGACCTCTCCTAAGACTAAACTGCTGCTGAGGTGAAAGGGGAGAATTACTGTCTTGTGTGGTGTTGGGGAGGGATTGAGCTGGGTATCTCCTTCTAAAAAAGATATATTCTACCATCCTTCCTTCTTTTTTTTTTAGTCCCACCTTCATTCTCACTTCCAGAGGTACCTGGAACCTAAACTTTGTTGGGTATGTTTAGTGTAAATGGAATTGCTTTTGTACTTTCCCTGCCACTAGCTTACAATTCAGCTCCAGCCAGCCTTTCAGCTTCTAAACTTTTGTTGCTGTTGTCTCCTTCCCCCATCTTCATAAAATTCCCTTCACTGATATTTTAATGCATTTTTCAAAGAAGATAGTGCTAAACGTTTGTTGATTCTACTGTCTTTAACCAGATGTCCACTCTGCCCCTTTTCCCTGGTAGTGGGTAAGTTTTGTCATTTGTTGGAGGTGTCAAGTATATACTTTGTGTCAGTGGAGAAAATATAGAGTTTTCTTTAGATTAAGTAAGCATAAGAGACCTTAACTCTACATGTTTTTATATAGAGAGGTCAGAGTTAATAAAAATGATCATTTTTTTCATTAATGAAGTATTTCTGCTTTAACTCTCATAGGTTCAGTTTTCCAATTTGGCAGCAGCTCTACAAATTTCAACTTCACAAATAATAATCCTTCAGGAGTATTCACATTTGGTGCAAATTCTGGCACCCCTGGAGCCTCAGCCCAGCCTTCAGGCCCAGGGGGCTTTCCATTTAACCAGTCTTCAGCAGCATTTACAGTGGGGTAAGAGAAGTTTTTTGTTGAAATGGAGAATTTACATTGGTAAGGGTATGTGCATGTATGTGTTTTGTTTCTAAAAGCCATCAAGGTGCAGTATAATTTGGGTGGAGTTAAATACATTCTCTGTCAACAATTTATGTTGTAATTTTGGAGGATTATATTATCAGCTGAGGAAATGTGTGTGTGTGTGTGATAGCAGAAAATATATTTGCTTTAACAGTATTTTTCTATCTTTCTCCTTATTGCTGGTCATGTGAAATGTTAAGATTGTGAAATTTTGCTCTGAGCATCCTCATGTTCTGAAGTTTTTGTTTTTCACAGGTCAAATGGGAAAAATATGTTCTCCTCTTCTGGAACTTCACTTTCTGGTCGCAAGATAAAGACTGCTGTTAGACGCAGGAAATAAAAGTCACAAAGGTGTTATACCCAACAGTCATAACAACAGCTGGTGCCCTGCTTTCAGATACTGGATTGTGCTACATACTGGGCTTATCTGAAGTCAGATCTGCCTAAGGATTTCTTTAATTTTGGAATGGTCCTCCTCTCCTTATGGAAGTCCCTTTCCCATCTGTCCCATTCCCTTTTTTGAAAATAATAGCTAGACTGGTGACTGATTCTTCAGCAAAAATATTTTATGATCCAGCACATTATTCACTGATTTGGCATAGTCTGGCTGTAACCAGGAATAGAGCCTGCACGGTGAATGGCTTTGTATAGAACTTCTTTGTCTGCACCACTATGTGCGTTAATAAGCGTTTATGGAACGCGTTGAAATTGTAATTATATCTGAGGAATTCTGTATAGATTAGAATTCTGTATAGATTAGAGGACATTGAAATGAATGATTTCTATGCCGAGTTGTTTGTGCTGGTGTATGTGTGAAGTGAGTGAGTTGGGTGTATTGTGCACAAGTTTTTCTGATAGAGAAAGCCTGATTAAAGAGTGGTCCATACTAAGGACCTGTTAGATCTAGTTCATTCTCCATTTAATAATTATATGCTATTTCTATATTTTCATTCTTCTATCACCTGTCTTGCCTTTTTCATTATTTTATTATGAAACATCTGTAAATACAATTTTGTTTTCTGTACTTTTTTGGCATAACATAAATCTGTGAACTTGAAATTTTAATTTTGTGTTAGACATTTTTTTGTTTAGTCTTGTCTCAGATTTTATTATGTAAATCCCATTATTCAAAGTTGCCTAAATCCATTTGGAAATCTTTAAAAAAAATTGGGGATTCTTAAAGTTGAATTTATTGGCTTTTCTGATCCAGTTTTGTTTGGACCAAAAACCAGTATTGTACAAAGTATTAAGCATATATTTTTATATTTACTAAAATGGACTGTGGTGACTTTGGATAATAAGGAGAAGTTTAATATTAAAGCCATGTTTATTACAGTATAATTAACATGTTAAAACCATGGGATAAATGCCATCAATAAAAATTTATGAAGCACTTTTTGCTAGTTTTAACTCATAATGTAGGTACACAGTATTAATGGGAGGGGACTTTAAATAATCAATTAGAAATCCCAAAGAGTACATTGAAGTAATTCAGATGACTACAAAGAGCAGGGGGAAAGTATCTGAATTTGCCACAATTAGAAGTTACCCTGCTTCTTGACTCTGGTGCTAGGAATCTTGGCTAATTTGCACATAGATTTACATACCTTTTTTTAAAGTTGAAAATAAACACACATAACCATTTGTTTGTACTTGAATCTTCCTTTGGTAGATAACTAGATGATGTTTGTTGATGGAGTACTTGGAGGTACACATACCTAAAGCAGTTTATGAAAACTGCTTTCAGATTATTTTACTGCATTGTTTTTATTACTAGATCTTTCCCTGTGTTCTAGAAAAAAGCTTATGGAATAGCACTTGATAATTTTAGTTTTCAGTTTGAATGCAGTTATTTTGTGCTGTTTTAATTTGCCAAACTTCTTGTTGGTTGACATTTAAATTCAGATCTTTAAAATGTTTAGGAATGTTTCCAGTGAAAAAAAATGTATTTCTTCTCTAAGATATCTTAGAACACCATCAAGTGCTGACTTGAGGGAAGAAATTTTATATTTACAGTATTCTTTTTATTATAGTACATATCTCAGATTTAACCTGTTTGGGGTCAGAAGGTGGTGATGAATACTGAAAGAGGTAACTGGAAATCTTACTGCTGGGAGGTGAACAGGTTGGTTATTAGCCATTCTTTAGGCCTGTGTCATGGAGAAAAATAGGCTTTCTACTTTTCTCTAAAAATGTGCTAGAAATAACGTTTACTTTTACAGAAGATCCTTGGTTATCCATAGGACATGGCCATTGAAAAAAAATCAAAAATGTTCAGAATGCAGAGTTTGGTGGTGTACCCTACCCAACTTCCACTAAAGACTTGCCACCTTCCAACCAACTAAAATTTTCATTTTCTCTCATAAATAGCACATTACCTTGCTTTTTGGGCACCTGTTTCTTGGGAGGCATGTTTTCACAAAATTAAAGGCACGAAACACTTAGAAGCTCACGATTTAAACCAACTGATGACATGACTGAGTGCTTCTCTGCATCAACTGAGATAGTGGAAATTTGAAATCTGCGATTTCTTTTTATTTTGTATTTTGACTTTTTGGTCAAGATCACATATAATAAATCCATGGATCAGGCAAGGTTATTTTATTATTCAGTTTTTGGACAATTTGCTAAAAATCATACTTAATCTTGTTTATATTAAAAATTGGATCCTTTGTGTCTGCCCCCTGCCCACCGAATCTTACAAGACAGAACATGGAACTGTTGAGTTTTGACTTCTGTAATTCTTAGGGTGAAGATGGCAGCTTGATGGCAGTCGTGGTAGCAACTTTATGCCTAGTGGTATAGGTGTCTCCTCACTGAACTGGCTTCAGCGGTAGACCGACTTACAGTCTGCCCCCTGTGCATGCAGTAGGTGCCTCGAAGGGTAACGTGTTCCATATGCAAGTTAGACTTGAGCTGTGGAAGGGAAACATGCTGGAAAGAAAGTAAAAACCCACTGTAGTTCTATGTTTTTAGTAAAAAACCTTTGAAAGGAGGGAAGTCAAGTGCAGAAATTTTAATCAAGTGATCAGGTGTGTTTATATAATTTGGCTGGCTGACCACAGGAGGGTCAGTGGTTCTCAAGGTACATCAGTGTTAGTGGAGTATGTTATGTTCTAGGAACCTTATCACCACTCATGAGGTCTTGATAGGATCTAGAGTTCTGCATCATTAAAAAGCAACAGGAATCCTAGCACCCATGACTCACACCTGTAAGTCCTAGCTGCTAGGGAGGCTAAGATTAGGAGGTTCACGGCCAGCCCAGGCAAATAGTTTGTGAGACACCATCGCCAAAATAACCAGAGCAAAATGGAGTTGGAGGTGTTGCTCAAGCTGTAGGGCTCCTGTTTTCCGAGTGCAAAGCCGGGAGTTCAAGTCCCAGTCCCTCCATAAAGGGGAAAAAAAAACCAACCTCGAAGAATACTAATGCTCTGAGGTCTAGAGATATCATGGTGGATTTTTAACATTAATTACATTAGTAAAATGCTAATTGCATTTTATGACTTGAAATAATTTGAATTAATTTTAATGTTGTAACTGGGCCGTAAGATTCCTGGTTTCATCTGGGAAAAACCTGTGTTTTATTCTATTAGCATGTTCTCTGGACCTGTTTAAAGTTTTAAATTTAGTGGACATTTTATAAAGGTTATTCTGTGTGTTTAATGGAAACTGGCAAGTTTGTACTGTAACACTGAGAAAACAGGCTTATTGGGTCTATAGTAGCACATTGCCTGCAGCACTTGGGACAGGCTACACTTTAGCTACAGTCAAGTTTGCCCTTTCCCAGTGGGGTAGCTTATAAAAGTTAGAATGCATTTTAATTGCCCAGCTGTTTAATATCTTATATGGTGGTTATGATGGCCAACAGCTCCAAGGAAGGGACTGGATTAGTTTAACATTAAGCTTAGTTGATGTGCAGATAATCTGCACTTGCTGGAAGTACATATCATTAAAAAGGGTAGTGTTTTCATGGTGCCCTTTCTGAAAGCAATCTAGTTCGCTGCTCTAGCCACTGAAAAACCTGTATTTGGAAGCAAGGTCTCTAGCAAACCTCAAATAAGAGAAAGCACACAGATGCATTAGTGACTAAGTATTTATTGAGGCAATGAATACAGACAGGTAACATACAAATTATTTAAAATAGAATGCTGAATTTTAGAGGTGGGCCATTGAGTCAAGCCCTACTATAATGAACTGCTTGAAATTAGGAACTTCACCCATGCAGGAACATGACTTTGGCCTTTGGTACTAGGGATTGGAATGGCACATCATTGAAATGGTACTTGTAGATTAGGCATACTGTCATCTAGGCATGTTCTTCAAGGAAACAATAGCCTGTTTTAATAGGGACAAGTGAAGAACAAAAAAATGTGATACTCCATCCCCTCAAGAATCCTTTTATCCCCAAGCAGCAAGTGTAAAATTTCAACTCTTTTCTACCATCCCTTTGCTGGAAATACTTATGCCTAAGTAAAACACCCAAACAAATCACTGAAGGGAACAATTCCTTTTAAAGTATCAATTTAAACAAATTTTACTGTCTTTTAAGACATTAAAAACATTGAAGAATTGTAATGCAGACAGTGACCCTCAAATAGAATCCTTTTTTCTAATCCAAAACACTTTCTAGGCAAACTATAACACTGCAAGTAAAGGCTTACTATCCAAATGTGTAGGCTTTTTATGGTCATAGTATAAAAGCAAGGCTTGTCATCACAATTACCAGCCTAGGGCCCAGCTTCTAACTCCCAACAACATGAACATTATTCAGTAAGCCAGACTTCACGATACTTTTAAGGATGGGTACTGCGATTTTGTGGTTGCCCAAATTACCTGGCAGTTCTGTTTAACTGAATGATAATATAGCAATAAGATGTAATACATTTTAAAATGAGCTTTTTTCAAATCAGTCATAGGTTTTACTTAGGGAATGCTTACTGAAATTTTATTGTTAAAAAGTGATGAATGTAATATGAGTACAACTTTTTTGACAGAAAATCAGTACTTCTATAAGTGAAAAATACTATAAAGTGTTCAGAAAAGGAGACTTCAAAAGATTCCCCTTTCCCTCCCATTGTTTTGTAATTTTTTTTCTCAACTCTGAAAATCAAAATTTCTTTCCCTAAGTGCTGAATTTATAAATCGAAACAGATAAGGATTCTGTTGTAAATGCAAATATCACTATATACTATACGGATATATAACTTGAATTCAGTTGGATATTAATGTGAAGGACTCATAACAAATTGGACTACTTATTTGCATTTTTGTTGTACTATCTAAATGAAAATAGGTCTACATGGCAATTATGTAATTAAGCAGAAATTTATAAATCAATGGATTTCAGAACATGACTGAAAGACATTTCAACTTGAATTCCCCCGTCAGTGGTAAAAGTAGTGTATGCATTAAATACTAAATTTATGTTCAATTTCCTAGCGTAATTAAAAGATAGAAGTGTTTTTTGTTTTTCCATTGTGAAGAGCCATAAAATCTTCCCAGGGGCTACAAATAAATGATGTACTTATTAGTACTTTGACACATTTAACAGACATTCTGTGAGGTTAGATTTTTTTGAAAAGCATGGTTTGTGAGATTTCACACTGAGAGGGTATTAACAAGGACATGTGTAACGTTTCTACAGAAATTAAATATATTTCACAGTTTTAAATATCAAAGAAAAACCCACTTTAAAAATGATACAATGATAAGACATGTCTAGCATTTGCTATTAAATTTAAGACCAAGAACAAACCCTTAAGCAATCTAATTTTGAGTTATGTAATACAGTTTAGTGTTCTGAGGAAAATACCAGAGTTGGAGAAGATGACCAAGAATCAAACTAAATAGTGCAGGTATATATCAACACAGCTAAATGGGATGTACAACGAAAACACATCCATTCATAAGCCCCTTTTCTACCCCCGCCCCAACTTTGCTTCAATAGAATAAAATAACACACCAAGTATTACTTTGCTTAACATTTTCCCCAAAACTATTGCTAGTAGATCCAAAATGAACTATAAGCTAGAATAATGGCTGGAAATGATATTTTCCCTTGCTTTAGAGAGAACAGTTAATGGGAAAATTACTAACATTTCACAGGCTACTTATTTAGAATTAGTCATAAAATACTAAGATTCCTTAACTCCTTGATGTTTCAAGTGGTACTATACAAAATACAGAAGGAATTACTATGGGAATATGCTGTATTGTATATAAATAGAAGTTACACATTGAGAACACTGAAAAGCACTAATACTTTCTTCATGCTGTACACACACTGGGAACATTGTTGTATAGTGAATATGCAACAGTTTGATGGAAGTTTTTTCCACATATTTATAATTTGGTTTTAGGGCACTGAAAACACTTGTATGTGAACTGCAAGTTAAATCTACAGTGAAAATTTACTACCCCCTCCACCCTAAAAGCAATCACTAAACAGCTTTTCTTAAAAAAAAAAAAAATAATAATAATAGCAATATGACAACATGTTTTCATCACCATGAAAAACTTGCCCCAAATACATGTTTAAGCATGAAGTTGTAAAGTTATACTGCAACTACAGGGAATTACAGTACATGCTGGAAAGCATCAGGTAACGGAACTCCTAGGCCTACCTTGTTTCTTTTGCAGCTGACTGAACATCTCCTGGGATGGGTGATAAAAGTATTATCCAATTTATGACCTCACTCCCTCTCCCCAAAAAACCAATTTCCCCAAGAAGAGTTAAAGATGAGTTATATAGGTGTTTACAAAACACAGATGGATATTTTCCATCATTTTGGGATCAACCAAAATACGTTTCGTTTCATTTGGAGATTTCAGATCTCAAGTGTGCTTTCAGCAAATTCTAATGCCTTAGATCTCAAGAAAGTATTTATTGTCCACTGTTGATTATGAAACCATTTGCTTTCTTTTTGACCCAAGGTTTAACACTTGAATTTTACAGGTATTTCTTCTTGAAAAGTTCTTTGGCATTCAAGTAAAACACTTTGAGAGTAGCCACCTGCATCACACTGGAGTGACTGCTTTAATTTCTAGATCAACAATTAGTGTAACCCAGGGATACTGATGGCCTTGATACATAATTTACTCATTATTATTCCAAAGAGTGTGGAACTTAGGGTTTTTTTTGGGGGGGGGGCGGGGCATCATCTGACGCCATTTCTTTTCACCACAATGGTTCCTGCTACAATGTCATAGGCTGTTCGGTTATGCTGAAAAACAGCAGTGTGATGAAAGCAGGGAAAAAAGAAGCAATAGAAAAATTCTTGATCAAAGCTCGTATGGTGGACCTATAAAATTAAAGTAGAAGTATCCAGTAAGTTGCACATCAGTCACATACAGATAAATGGTATCCTATCCAGTTCAAACATATTTAAAACATTCAGAGTATAGTTGAGAGAATTTTTATCTTTGACATAGGAGTTGTTTTCAAGTAAGTTTATAACATGATCAAATCATGTGGACTATTTTTAAGGACATCAACAAAAAACGTGAGCAATTTCATATGAAAAACAGTAATATCTCAATAAGAACTAAGGGTTTATAGTATTTTCTAGCACAATGCCAGAATAGTAACTTCCCCCTACTTACTTTTTCCACAGTCACTTATTACCACATGTTTCTAGAATCTTCTAAACTGAGTAGTATGCATACTGGAGTCCATTTTTCTACCTTAAATAAAGCATTAGTATTTTAAATTACTGTGTGTTCTTTTAACAGCTCTCTTCTTTGTGGGATCCAGTAATTAAAGGAAGCCTTAAAAAGCTTTCAACAATAGCTCAGAATAGAGAATTATTCTAACAATGTTAGAGTTCTGCCTTTTTAGCACACGGAAAGGCTGCAAAAATGTGCAGTGCCTGAATGTGGGCTCTAAATCCAAACTAGTTGGTTTCAAATACATCTTCTAATTACTGGTTGTGTTCTACATCTGCAAAAACGAGATTAACATTATCTTGTAGGGTACTAGGACTAAATTAGATAATATATATGCAGTGTTACTAACAGTGCCTGAGAAATGCTCAATAAACAGCCACCACTGACGCTCTTATTAAGAAGCAGCCGGGATTATAACCATAAAATTTTAAGGAAATTTCTGTTATGTCAGCAAAAGGAAGGTTGCTTCTAGAGTCACTTGTTCATAATTCCTTTCATAGCAGTTCACCTCTGAGTCATTCTGGCAGCAATTACAGCCAGTTTCTGTTTGGCTCAACTGATATTACCACCCACTCACCTCCACAACTCCATCACCAGGAGCTGTATACTCCCCTAGATAGATGCCAGCAGCATTAGAACTGGAGGCATTACAAGCTCCACCACTTCAGAGCAGGAGCAGGATGCATGTGTGTACACACAGCTGCCAAACTCATCACCAGTTCAAGATGGAATAATGGGTATTGACCACCTGTTGGCTCAAGGTATGGTGGTACTTGACCCAATATCCACATCCACAGATCCAGGGAATAATAAAGCTGGGCATAAGCACTGACAGCATCAACACTCAAATCATCCCCTCATTATTGTGACTTATATTTCACAAAATTATCCTCTTGAATACATATATGGAAGAGGGCTGTACAATCATACAGCAATTGAAATAAATGCTCATCACTTTTTTTTGGTAGGGGGTTGGTACTGGAGTTTGCACTCAGGGCTTTCCTCTTGCAAAGTAGGCACTCTACCACTTGAGCCACACCCCCAGCCTGACTTTCTTATTAAGTATTAGCCTATGTATAGTATATGTCATGAAGAAAGAAAAGTAACAATATTCTAAAAAGACTTGCAAACTTGTAAATTATTACATACTGAATACAGTCCTGTGGCATTTAGTGATAGTATACATTCTAAGAAATGCATAATGAGGCCATTTTGACACTGCAAAAATCACAGTGTACTTACATTAGGTACACCAAGTCAACACGCAATACAATTTTATGTGACCACTGCCATATATGCAGGCAGTCATTGACCCAAACATCGTTTAGTGTTAAGACCATACTTAAAATATATAATTTTCATAAGTATACAGTAGATTAAGCTAAGAAAAGGACTTACGTTGTAATGCTAACATTTGAGGAAGGAATCACTAACACCCGACTTGGAGCAATAAGCACTGATGTATCGCATGTCACAACTCGAAGCCCTAGAAGGAATTTCCCTGGGGTAGCTCCACCTGCCCCCCAAATGCAAATTATCTGAAGAAAGAAGGATAATTTTAAAATGACTTACTGCCTCAATGATACCAATTTTAAAGATAAGTCTTTACTTCATGTTTAAAATTTTCAAGTTAGAAGAGAATTGCATGGCAAACTCAAAGGTTAACCATTTAATGCATTTCTCTCTCTTAATATGTTCAATACCTTAAAATGTCTACTGTAATATCTCCCTATGGCCCAGTATACTTTTTAGCAAGTTGTTTAGAAGAAAAAATACACTTCAAGTTCTACAACCAACCAATAAGTATATTCTGTTTGTGAATGAATTTTATTTCTAAGAGTAAAAAACATTACAAAGCAATTGTAAAATGTCTCCTTTCCAAAAGTTGTCTTTTATCTGAAAAACAGTACATGTGAATAAAACTTGGAAAAAATATAATACACTTGAAAAATACATGAATAATTGTAAATTTGTTTTAGACTGATGACCTAAAATTAGATTGTTAAAACTTAATACTTGCTCCAGTCAGTAGCTTACCTCATAGAAACAAACTAATAATCTGTATATAAGTGCCACAACCATCATCTTCTGCAAGTCTTCCATTGATGTGTCTTCATCTATTTCTTCTATTATATAATGCATAGCAAACTTAGAGATATCCCTATACAAAATAGTAATGTGTGGTCATAAAGAATTGGTTACCAGAATATTTATTATTCAACAAGTAGCAAAAACCAAAAGAGCATGTCCATACATAATGTGTCATCCACAGGACTGGGGGCGTAACTCAGTGGTAGTTTGTTTGCCTAATATGCTCAAGGCCCTGTGTTCCATCCCCAGGATCAAAAAAATAAAAAACATAAACCCCAAATACGCAGCGCTATTATGAACAAGTACTTTACTGGGAACACAATGTGTCTACTTTCATGGAAATTCTAACCTAGCAAGGAAAACAGAACAGTAAGTAATAATGATAAAGTGGGATGTGAACTGTGATAGGAAACCACAGAAACGGAATGCAAACACAGACCAGTTACATTTAAAAAACTTACACTTAACCTTGTGAAGCCTTCCCAGAAATGACATTAGCCAGACTAAGAAGAAGGGAGAAAATTCCAGAGAGAGGGAACAAGACAGAAAACTTTAGATCAAATTATAAGGCTCAAATGTTAAGGTGAGAGGTGACAGCAATTAGGAAATAAGCGCATGTGTTAAATTACATGAAGAAATTCGGACTTCATCTTGACAATGAGAAGCCACTGAAGGGTTTTAAAGCAGGAAGAGGCAGAATCAGAATTTATGATCATTTTGGTTTTATATCAGAGATTTGACTGAGATAAAATAGAACACAGGAGTCTGAGTTAGCACTTACTTGGAAGATTTTGGCCATAATCCAAGCAAGAGATGACAGTAACTAGACTAGGGAGAAATAATGATGAAGAAAAATAGTCTGGGTTGAAAGCTGTTCAGGAGATTGAACACAAAGGAGTTGGTGTTGCTTGGATGCGTCAGAGGAGAAAGGAAGGTCAGTAACACTAGGTTTTATGAATTTGCATCTTGACTATCACTTACTACCTTTATAACTTTAAGTTCTGGGCTTAACTTCTTATCAACTCCAGCCTCAATCTTTATAAAAGGGAGGTATTTTCCTCATAATGGTACTAAGATTAAATAAATAAATAAATAAATAAAATATAAATATAAATATATATATATAGGTAAATATATAATATATATAAATATATAAATATATATATGTAAGCTCAATGCCCTGCAAATAAAAAATAAAAAAATGCTCAGGAAGTGATGACTACTGTTATGATTATTACTAATCTGAAAGGAGGATTATTCAAGGAAAAGTTCACATGGGACTCGTCTAATAGTATAAGCAATTCCATCTGGAAATGCCACTAGTTGATCATTAAAAGTTCAAATACCAAATGCTCTTTATGCTTTTAGTCTCTAGAGACTTCATAGGTTAGTAAGGAAGAAATTAGTTCCTGGCTTAAGAGAATGGTTAATAAAAACAAATCAGGTTTGGAGGTGTCTTTTATCTACTTTTTTTTTTTTTAATATGAAGATCATCTTATAGTCTCTTTGCCTTTTTTCCTCTTTTTGGTGGTACTGGAGCCTCACATTTGCTAGGCAAGTGCTCTACCACTTGAGCCACTTCACCTTTTTTTTTTTTTAAATCTACTTTTAATAGATGAATTGCCCACAGATCTTGAAGAATTTATTAAGAGTTTTTAATTTCTTTCTTTTTTTTTTAAAGATGGTATTGGGGTTTGAACTCAGGGCTTTGTGCTTGAGAGGCAGACTCTCTAGCCCTTTTTGCTGTGATACTTTTTGGAGACAGGATCTTGTTTTTTTGCCCAGGCCAGATCATGATCCTCCTATTTAATGCTTCCTACCATTGTTGGGATGACAAATACACACCACCACACCCAGTTTATTTCTTTGATAGGGGGAGGGGGTCTCACATACTTATTTTTTTCCCCAGGCTGGCCTGGAACATTAATCCCCCTGATCTCAGATCTCAGATCTCAGCCTGGTAGCTTGGGATGACGTGCCAGTGCACCCAGCTATTGGTTGAGATGCAAACTTTTTGCCTGGGATGGCTTCAAAAGGTGATCTCAGACTCCCAAGTAGCTAGGATTACAGGTGTGAGCCACTGTGCCCAGCCTCTTTTGTAGTTATTTCTTAAAACCAACAAGAAAATAAATCTGACAAATCTCTCATGAAGAAATCACGACACTAGCACACTTTTATCCATATAGTTAACATACAGGTATGAAGAGAACTTAACGAGATCTCTAAACAGAAGAAATTAAAATCTTTCTATAAATGTTCTTTACTTACTTTATTCCACTGAGGTGCATAATGCTTAAGACAATGGTTGCTTTTATAAAGAAGAGAATAAAAAAATCCACCATCTCTGCCATAAATCTGTGGGCCAAGGATGGAATAACATACTCTCTGCCTGCAAATTTAAAAAAAAAAAAAAAAGGAAGGAAAATTCATCACTTCACATGGGTCTGGGAATACAAGCCAGTTAATGAAAGGAAAATCAAAGTCAAGGTACAACTCAATTTTTAAAAATTTTACAATCATGCATCAATTACTGGCACTGTTTTCATGAAGAGTATATACATAAGTAAACATAGCAACAGTACTCCACTATTTACTGACAGCCTAAACTTTGCTTTCATCACCTTAATGTTTAAAAATTGGTTTCACAGATAAATTTGAATGGCGTACCCTATACATTTCACTGGGGACTCAAATGAGGGAATCTAGGTGATCACATCCAGGTGACTAAAAATCAGGGTTAAGTATGTAAGTGCAATTTGTATAAAATAAATCCCTGCATCCCATATTAACTCCCCGCCCCAAACACACACACACTCAGTCTGTTTTACTTTCTATACAATGAATCCAATGTTATCAATCTGTCAACCTAAATTATCAATCTGTCAACCTAAATTCTGACTGGGATTATATCTAGGCATCAACTAGTCCTTGTACTATACATATCTATGACTGAAAAAACTAAAAAGTCTAAAAAAAAAAAACCGAAAGATTGTAACTAATTCAAAATATTTTAGTTCCCATCCAGAAATAAACAATAAAGCCAATAAGCCAGATAGCAAAGTTTCATATCCACCTCCCTTCCTATCTGTTCAGTTCCATGGCCCCTAAACTGCCCAAGCTTGGGTCACCTGCAGAAGCAGTCGAGCCTCTCCAGACGTGGGTCTGCCCACGTCTGAAAGCTGAAAGAGTTCAGCTTTGCACCTCTTTCTCCAGAGGATGGGAATCAGGCGGGAGGAGGGTGTGAAGAGCGAACGTTTCTTCACACGTGGAAAGGACTCGTCCCATGAGTAAGGGAATCACTTCGCAGCGCCAGGTCTACGAAGACACTGACCGCATTGCCTAACTCTCTGTACCCTTTGGGAAATTCCGGCCCGGGCAAAGGACAGCTGATGCAGCCAGCAGACCCCCGCGTCCCGCTTCCTCCAGCCCCGCGCTTCTCACCCGCCGGCCGGCCGGTCTCGCTCGCCGTCCGCGAGTGGGCCGTGGATCCTGCCCTGGTCCCTGGAGTGGTCCGGACCGAAGCCTGCACGTGAGGAGCCCGGGGTGCCAGGCCGCCGACTGCCGCGGGGGTGGGGACACCGGTGGCCGCCCCCGGGTCGGGTCCCGCAGCCCCGGCGCCCAGGAAGTAGAAGGGGTTGAAGTAGCCGAGCTGCAGGTGCGGCGGCAGCGAGGCCGGGGGGGCGGCGGCGGCGCCCGCGGGGTAGCTGGGCAGGGGTGGCTGGGGGCTGCAGTAGGCAGGGAAGGCGGCCAGCCCGCTGTGCCAGGTGAGGTAGCCGCAGTACGACTGCCACAGCCACTCGTGCACCTGTCGGGAGTACTCGCGGGCGCTCAGCCGCGCCGACCTGTCCCGCGGCGCCGCGGCCTCGGCCGCCTCGCAGTCCGCGGGCTCCGGGGACCCCGCGCTGCGGTCGGCGGCCGCCTCCTTGCACTTTCTCGGCTCGTGCGGCGGCTCCGACGCCTCGGTGGCGGAGGCGACGGCCGCGAGGCCGGGGGATGGGGACCGGCCCGGGGCTTGGGGTTCGGTCGGCGGCCCGTCTCGGGGACAGGCGGCGGCGGCGGCAGGAGGAGGCCCTTGCCGGGCAGGGTCGGCCTCGTGGTCTCCTCCGCCGTCGTCCTGTCCCGGAGGGCGGCCTCGGGCTTCCTCGGTTCCCTCTGCCATCGTCGCCACGGGAGCGCCCTCCGCGGTACCTGTCACTGCACCGTTTCCCTGCCCCAGTGGGCCCTCCCCAACCGCCCCGACGCCACCGCAGCAGCCGCGGGCGTCAACAATCCGCCAGCGGAAGCGGAAACCCCGCCCCTCGGCGGCATCGCCGACCCCGCGGGGCTGGGGGTGGGGCTGAGATCCCATGACCGCGGCCTGGAGTCCTTGGACTAAGGTGTTGGGGCCAGAGTTCACTCGCTCCACGTGACGATTGGTATGAAGGCCCGAGGCGTGTCTGAAGAATCCAGTGGCGTTGGATCAGGTTGTCCCGGAGCAACTGCAGACGGACGAGCAGGACTTCCGAGACAGGGCCCAGGGACCGGAAGCCTAGTCTCTCGTGCTTGGTCTCCAAGCCCAGCTTTGGCCGCTTGCCAAATGGGATTCACTCCAGTTAACCATTTGTAGCCGAGAACGTGATTAACAGGACATATATGTCCCCTCAGAAAACAAGACATTACACAGCCAAACTCAACTGGGACATGTATTAAGATGAAATGACGCGATGCAGAGATTGTCAATTGCAGAGGAAGACGGGTTATGCGCACTTAAAGCCGGACTCTACCCTTACCCTGGAGTTAACCTCTGTCCATAAAAACTAAGTTGCCACTACAGTAGATGCGGGGCTTGTATTTCAGCAGCACTGTGCCTTTCCTCAGACTCACTGTCTCAACCTGAGGTACCTTTTGTTTTCTGTTATGAAAAGGCCCTGATCATGTCCCAGGGCTATGTACCCTTCTCTTGGCACAGTAGCCCATGGCACGATTTCCCTTTCCTCTGAACTATGCGTAGCACCTCACGTATTTATGTTTTAATATACTTTCCAATGTGCTTAAGTTTATAAGCCTTTCGGTGGTAGCAATATGACTTTGTATCCCCAGTACCTACAAAGGATCTTCAGTGGCCACGTACTTAAGGACGATGTCCAGAATCATTCTTGCCTTTACATTGAGAGACATAAAAGTCATAACTTTTGCCCTTAGGAAATCAATAATCTAGTTCAAGGGAAAAACTTCCATGAAACACTTGAAAATATGTTCAACACCATGAGTACAATGTAAAGTCATTATAAGAGAAAGGTCATAGTGACCTCTAGCTAGAATGGTTTTTTACCCTTGGTACCTTGGTTTTGAAATCAACTGTGAGGAAACTTTTTTGTTTCTGTTTGTACTTTGGTGCTGAAGGTCAAACTCAGGGCTTCATGCATACTAGACAGATGTTTTACCACTGATCTATATTCTCAGCCAGAAGGAAATTTTAATGTTTAAATAAACATTCCGAGTTATGGTGGGGAGACAAGAGAACCAAGAGGAAAGAAATAAAGGTGGCATGGAATAAGTGTGAAATATTGTGATTACTGGAGACATGGGCTTTGTTTTGAATAACTGTTTATGTAGTATCTGACACAGTGTCACTGTAAAGACATTAAGAAAATGATATAAGGGAATAAGGAAAACTCAGAAATGAAGTAACATAACTGGAAAGAATTAGAAATAAAAAGTGATTTCAGAATACTAGAAGGGAACACAAAAGGAAGCAAATACAACAAGTATTGCCTGGCGAGAACTAGAAATTAAACATGAAATTTAAGTCAAAAAGAAAAACAAAATATTTGAGAGAAATGATAAGTATTGAAGATAAGCAAAGAAGATCCAACATACAGATTGAGTCACTGATTCAGAAACTCTTAACTGCAAAGACAGGTGCCAATAAATAAGGTATAACTCAAGAAAACTTGTCCCAAACTATACATATATGCGTTCATGCATACACATGAATTTTATGTATTTTATATAACATGTTACAGATATAGAAAATATACTGCATACCTAAGAACATTGAGAATGAATACTAACAATACATATTCTAGTAAAAGAACCAGACTTTAAATTGTTTAAAAAGTGACCATTTAGGGGTAAAATGTAAGTTATTTGTGAGATAAAGAATGTATTATTATAAGACTTCAGCATTAACACTTCATGTGAGAGGAAAATGGTGAAACAATCTAAAATATTCAAAGAAAGAAAAATGTGAAAAAGGACCTTATATACAGGAAATCTGATTTTCAAGTATAAAAGCATAATCTAATTGGTTATCAAAATGAAAAATACCAGGGAATGTTATTCACTTGCATTCTTTCTGAGGCATCTATTAGACCATGAAGTTCAGCAGTCAAAATAACTACCAGGCAATGACAAAGGATGGCCGGTGAACATTAACTATTTAATTCTTTTAGACCATTTGCATCAGTCAGAATCCAATTAAGAGAGAGGAAACCACATAGTATTTTGGACAGGGAACATTTATTTATAAGAAGTTATTAACAGGATTGGAGTACAGGGAGATTAGCTAGTAAGAGACAAAAAGAGGGGGGAGAAATGACCCAAGCCTTGTATGCACATATGAATTTAAAAAAAAAAGAGACAAAAAGAATGGTGAACATACAGGAATAGCAGGTATATGGAGCAGCTACTACCATTGGACTCAAGTAGAATGCCCAGTGTCACCAGAACTGAGACAGATCTTGAGGGGGGCATAACTGTGGCTCACTGGTGGGCAAAGAAGTTTGCTGAGGTTTGATATCAGTGGGACTCAGTAGAAATTCTCTCTGGAGTGCTGGGACAAAGTGCCTCATCTCAGAATTCAGTGCAAAGTGCCTGGAGAAGTGACTTACACAAAGGTGCTTTGCCACCAACACAATACTATGAGGCCATCTGAAGAACAGTGTGCTGAGGGAAGCTCTCCTTGAGAAGCTGCTGCTTGTTGCTGGCCACTGGGCATTGCTGAAAAGAATCCTGCACTTTTCAGGAGTCCAAACTGATAATCACAATAGTCACAGAAAGAGAAGCCACTTCTTTCTCCAAAGGCCCTCCAGTGTCCTAACAAACTTTCATTCCAGCACAGGAAGCTTAAGTAGGAGGATTGCAGTCCAGGCTGGCCTGGACAAAAAACACATGAGACCCTATCTAAAAAAATAACGGAAACAAAAAAGGACTGGGGGTATGACTCAAGTGATAGAGCACTCGACTAGCAAGCACAAGGCCCTGAGTTCAAACCTAGTACTGCCAACAAAGCAAAAGAAGCCAAAAAAACTTGCATGGGAGAAGTATTTACAGCATTCAGTTCTTTTATTGCCAAGAAAGCAAGGACTTGGAGATGCGAGTCAATACATTGACATCTGACACAGGGTTAAAAGAAAGAATAGTATAAAATGGATTTATATTCTGAAATATTAATACAAAATAGCTATAAAATGGGGAGAGCATGTGTACTGCATTGGCAATTCTATGTAACCTGAGTTTAGACACCAATACACACTGGGTCTACATAAACCTAGTAGTTTCAACCAAAACGTATTGCTGACTCTGTTCCTTCTGAGATGTTCAAGTCATTATTTCGACCTCATCCATCCCTCTAGTCACATATTCGTTACAGAACACTGCAGTGTTGGATACTCTGCAAGGCATTTAGAATGTAGAAGTGAATAAAGCACTACTTTGTAGTTGAGGGGCTGACAGAATTGTGGGAAAGACAGTCAGGTAAATAAGTACAGGGTAAAGTATAAATCTAATGGAGGGAGTGGTCAGCTCTACCTGCCAGGGAGCAGAGGTAAGAAGTGGGAAGGATTTTGTGTAGGAGGTAACTGAGTTGTGTCTTAACATTATTTATTGGATGGATGTGGTAGGGAAGGTGATTCCACGGAGAGGGGGCAACATGAAGAAAATTTATGGAAATAGCCAAGTTGAGGCTGGCCTGAGTAGAGAGAAATCTGGAAAAGTAGGGAGGGAGGACTTTGGTTCTGAAGGGATTTTGCCCCATATGAAGGAGTTTGGACTTTGTCTAACAGACGCTATCAAAGAACTTTGATCAGGGAGATAAGCCTAGTAATATTTGTTTTTTAGAAATCTCTCTCTGGTAATAGTGTGGATGGGTTTGTCTAAACTTGAAGTTGGGAGATTATCATCTACATAAGATGAACTGAACCTGAATGAAAGCAATAGCAATGAGGATATTAAGGAAAGAGGCTTTAGAGTGAAATTTAGGAAACCCAATCTGCAGTTCGTGGATTTGAGTGAGAGAGAAGCAACACATGGTGTGTGGCTTGGAAGACTGAGTCTTCATGTCATATATGAAAACAGAAGGAAGAAAGATGGGCAAGATGGTGGAAGGGGTGGCAGTGGGATTTCCAAGGGCTGCCATCAGTTGAATATAGTATATCTATAAAAATACAGATTGAGAATCTCAGGCATGTGGGTGGTCCTTAAATTGAGGAATATATGTTAAACTCTGAGAAATGAGAAGAAAGGAAAGACAAGAGAGACCAAGGGAGTGTCAAAGGGGAAAAAGATTAATTGGCAAGGTGGGAAAACTAAGTGGTGAAGTAGGAAGGAGAGTAGAATAGAGTGGACAGACTTTCCACAGGAAGGGAGTCATATTAGCCAGCGTTCTACAGAGAAATAGAACCAATAGGATACATAAGCAGAAAGGGATTCATTATGAGAAGTTGGCACACATGATTATGGAGGCTAAGAAGTCTTAGGATCTTCTTTCTGCAAACTAAAGACCAAGGATAGCAAGTGGTATACTTCTAGTCTGAGTCCAAAGACTTCAAAACCAGGGGAACTAATGGTGTATAGTCCCATCCATCAGGAAAAAGACTAATGTCCCAGATCATGCAGGCAGGTAGGCCTAATTTTTAGTTTATCATCATAATTCAACTATTCTTACTAATATATGGCAAACATTACCATGATGTCAAACTGGTCTTTAAAGTATTTACTTCACGACCAAGTTTTGTCTGATTCAATACATTGATAGAAAGCAATTTGTAAAAAAAAAAAAAACAAAAAGAAACCTCAAAGGCTTCTTTTGTAAATAAGATGCCCAATGAACAAAATAAAAGATGAAATTTAAAATTTTGATTTCAATACTAATCTCTAGAAATACACATATATGAAGGCATCTTTTCCTTCCTTAACCAGACTTGGAGTGAATTGCTATCTAATGCTTTTCTGCCCCCTAGTGGTTGTTAAAAAGCATCAAGAAATTTACCATCTACTTTTAGGTATTTTATTTTAGGACAGTACATTTTCTTTATTGCAGATTTCTTGATTTTATGAATGTGAAGTTATTTATAAATGTCTCATCATTCACAGTAGGCATTTGTTACTCTTAAAAATGGGCCACACTCACAAAACAACTATCAACCTCATTACATAATGTAAAGAGACAGGGCTTTAGGCAACCAGTAGGTGGAGGAATTTCCAAAGCTCAGAACATTCTCCAATCCTGCCTTCAAAACTTG